TGGCATTATTTCTCAATTGTAAGGATGAAATGAATTGAATAATCCAATGGAAAGGTTATAGCAGTAATTCTGTCCAATGACTGTATTATGAAACTATCTCTCGGTTCATATCTATGGTTAATCTTATATCAGGAGATTTCTGAGTTGTGTTAAAACAGTGGCTCACCTTGATACGCTGTCTGTGCTGTCTCTCTGCTTCTCTCTCGGCTTTGCTGTCTCTTGGATTGAGCTGCAATATTTGATGACATTTGTTTTTAACTCCGCTATGAGGTCCGTTTTCATGGACATCATAAAAAAAATCCTCTGTATATGACGCATCTTTGTTTAAAAGGAAAATAACTGATGGACAAGTCAACAACCCTGACAACCAGTATCACACAATGATACATAGGCACATCCACTAGAGATTTTGCACTTACATCCAGTACTTTTGTACTATCCCCTGTGTAAAAATAAATCGGTGTTTTTTAAAGCAATTTTATTTCACCTGTTCTTTAAACCGTGACTGTATCTCATGCCCTGATTACTGCAACTCTGTAATATCAGGAGAGAGAGAGAGAGAGAGAAAGTATTTGAAAAGACTACTTGTTCTGAACACACCGAATAGAAGCCATGTCAAAATACAACCTTTACAGGGAGGGGATAGAAATTATTTCACAAAGTGTTGAATAAAGATGGATTTTGCTTGGTTAGATGTTTCAGTTCTGAAATAAAAGGCAACAAAGTCAGATGCCTTTTACAATAGTAAACCTTTGCAGAAAAACAGGGATCTATTTTAGTGTAAATAATAATAATAATCCTTGCATTTGATATAGCGCTTTTCGTGTCTTCGAGACGTCTCAAAGGGCTTCGCAGAAGATACTGTAAAGTGAATTGACTGTATATTTTATGGGCGACTGTATATTCTGTGAAGCGCTTTGAGATATCTCGAAGACTTGATAAGGCACTATATCAAATGCAAGGATTATTATTATTGAAACCACTGAACTGTCTGTCTTATTCTGTGGTAAGACAAACTCTGACAGCCCATCATCAGAGATGTTAAAACTGAGTTTTTATTTCCCATGTGAATTGCCACATCAGCTAGTAGAAGAATTGGTTTCCACTGACTTCTCAGGCACAAATCTATCTGCAACATAAGTGACTAGAATTGAACAAACACTGATCACAAAGTGTGAGATGGCCACCTATTGACTGTTTGATCCAATTGCACTCAATGCAGTTTATGTATTGGGAAAGTGTTTAACAAATGTATGTCTTCATATGGGACAGACACTTCGGTGGTTTCAATAGACTATTCAGTGGTTTCATTAAGAAGAGCTGTATCTAGAAGTGTAGGACCCATGAAACTGTCAAATTGATCATTATACTGTTCTACTGCTATGTGTTTTGCCTCTAATGAAAAAATCACCGGACACTTGTACAGCTGTACCTTTAAGTGAAATTTTGCTGATCAGTTTGTTGGACCCGATCAAGGCTTTTTGGCTGTTTTTTTCCTTGTTCGGTTGCGGGCGGGAATGAGGAAGAAAAAACGGTGTGCAAACCATTTCTTTATCTCCTGTCTGGTATGGTTCTGAAGAGAGAGGCACGTGCAAACAGATGCTCCGTGTTGTGTGAGAAGTGAGACAAAAAAAACGAAGAGTGCAATGTCCGCGTGTGTGTGATCACTATGTGGCCTTGCTGGTAGGTGTAGCCATATAGGGAAGGAATTTGCGAACAAGATAGTGTTTGTTAGGTGAGGAGTTAAAAACTGAGAGACAAACAAGAGAGTCTGGCAGTTAAGAGTTGAACGAAAGGCTGAGTAAACAAGTTAGGTATAAATGTAGCCGGTGTAGCCGTTGTTTTTTTTAGACCTACACAGACCAGACAAGAGCAGACTGGAGAAGATAGCGAGATGAAGCCACTGTAGCTCTATTAATAATAATAATCATTGCATTTCATATAGCACCTGATCACATTTTCGAGACGTCTCAAAGCGCTTCACGGAATATTCCGTAAAGTGAATTGACTGTATATTTTGTGGGCGAAACGCGGCAGCCAATTGCGCACAGCAGCGTCCCACACACAGCCGTGGGTTGAGTGAACACATTAGAGAGGACCTGGGTTTGATTTGCTGACAGAGCAAAACCTCAGGAAAGTTTCCTGATTACACAAACCTCTGTTCACCTAGCAGTAAGTAGGAACCTGGTAGTTAGTCGATTGGTGGATCGTTTGTCTGGGGTAATAATCCTTTCAAACATTCTTTTTTAAAAATATATAATTGTGGAACGCTGCTGTGCGCAATTGGCTGCCGTGTTTTGCCCACAAAATATACAGTCAATTCACTTTACGGTCTGTTCTGTGAAGCACTTTAGACGTCTCGACGACGTGATAAGGCGCTGTATCAAATGCCAGGGTTATTGTTATTATTTATAAGCTCCCTTCTGAGATGTCTCTTTCTGAGGCTGAAGAGCCCTAACGTGTTTGATTTCTCATAGCTCATCCCACGAGCACTTGACAGCCATCAATGCTCCACATATAGTAGTAGAACAGGTGCTTATACAATATAATAACAAGGAGAGGTTCATGACACATAAAGTTCTTGCAAGGGCGTAAAGCCCTCATGTTTCCCTCTGAAACGTTATCTACCAGTTTGTTTGTAGAGCTGAGTGACATCCCTGGCTTTTTGTACCGACTGATTGAGTAAGCGGTGTATTATTGTTATGGTTTTGTTTTGTATGTGAGCAGCAGTTAAGCTGCGCGGCAGCCAAAGGTTGATTCTGTTTATCCTGGACACACGTATTGACCTGCGCACACAAACCACATGAAATTGGGCTCAACACACATATAAAGACAGTTTGGGGACGTTCACTCAACCCAAGTAGATAAGTGGCATCTACAGGTTCATTTGCTCTTATCAATGCGTCACTCTCTCCAAACAGACAATGAAACATGCTTACCTCATCCCGTATTTATATGAAGTATTCATTTAAATGAGGGTAAGCTCTTGGTACAAAAGGGAATTTGTAGTACCAATTCAATAATATAATAATATAATATATAATACTAATCCTTGCATTTGATATAGCGTCTTATCACATGAGTGAGACATCTCAAAGCGATTCACACGCTTTACTGTAAAGTGGATTGACTGTATATACTGACGGCTATTGATATCAATGCCAATTAATATTTCAACTCCAACTTGCATTTACAGTATATAATGGCCTTCAGTCAACTCACTTTACAATATAGACTATATTCTGAGAAGCGCTTTGAGATGTCTCAACAAAGTGATAAGGCCCTATATCAAACACAAGTATTATTATTATTATTATTATTAAGAAATCAGAGATATAGGGAAGTGCTACGGCACTTTTTCACTTTTATGAGAAAAATCACCTACTTTAATTTATGAGAAAAATCATATGTGCGTTTTGCAATGGTGAAAGTTAAGTTACTCTTACAGTGTCACAGCATTTCAGACCATAATGTTCCTTGGCTGAGCACAAAGGAGAATTATTACATTGAGATATTAACTTGTAATGGACGAGATTTGTTACATGGTGTTCTTGACTGACGGTTCCTTTTCTTTGGTCAGCCAGGTGTCTGACACACGCAGAAACCCAGCACCATGCTTAAGAGCATCCAAGCCCAACTTAGAGGTCCACGCATCCCACCTACACATGGAAATCCCAGAGATATTTATTGGAATGCAATGACCTCTCTCCCTGGAGCGACACATCCTGCTTACCTAATTCCAGAAAGTATTGTGGGCAGGTCGACAAGAACGAAAGCCTGGGGACTCCAGAGTGTCAGTTGGCGTCTAACCAGCTAAAACCACATAACTTGCCATTGATATCGCTGTCTGGCAAGCTTTCCCGCTGCTTGTCCAACTATGACCACCCCCTCTGTTAGAGCCAATCACCAATCATCGGTTGACGAAAAATGATCACTTTTTTTTGTAATAATAAAACTCTAGGATAAAGGAACAAACTCATCCGATAAATTAAATAAGAGCAAAAGAACATTGAAGTATGTTTCTTGAATAAAGATTGTGGAGCAGCTTTTTTGTAATAAAAAAAACTCTCTTAGAATGTTCCCCGACCTCCAGAGGGAAGTGACATCCCGTGGGAAATGTTCAAGAAGATGAACTGGAATTGTTTCTTGTCCTTGTAAAAAGAAGTGAGAAAAACACTGGGACTAGAGTTCATTCTTGATAATGATAACAATAATAATAATCTTTGCATTTAAAATAGCACCTTGTCACATCAGTGAGACGTCTCAAAGCGCTTCACACAATATACTGTAAAGTGAAGTGACTGTTTATTTTGTGGGCAAAACACAGCAGGCAATTGCGCACAGCAGCGTCCCACAAACAGTCGTGGATTGAGTGACCAAATTATTATATTTTTTTAAAAACTTGAAGGGGTTATTATCCCCCCCGAAAACTGATCTGCTATTCGAGTAACAATTGGTTTCTTACTTACTCCTAGGTAAACAGAGGCGTGTGGAGTAAGGAAACTTGCCCAACGTTTCTTCCTGCCCGGGAATCAAACCCAGGCCCTCTCACTTGTGAGGCGAGTGCTCTAACCATTGAGTTCCATACATCCCACCGACATGGAAATTCCAAAGATATTTGTTGGAATGGAATGTGCACTCCCTCCCTGGAGGGAAGCATCCTCCTTACTTAATTCCAGAAACTATTACGTGCAATTCATTCTACAGTGTATTCTGCGAAGCGCTTTGAGAGGTCTCGAAGGCAAGGATTATTATTATCATCATCATTAAAGGGTTTCCACACGTGTCAGCTGTCCGGCATAACCCAAAATACAGGGAGCAAGCCTGAGTATGGACTGTCTAATCCAGTCTGTTCCTGATTTGAATGAAACATTTTATTTCGTGCGTTTTAGCACGAAAGGGACTGTTGGGGGAGGGAGGGGGTCAGGTCACATCAAGTCAAGCTATTGGAAAGAGCAGCTTCCTGAGGAGAGGCAGGACATTCTGACACGTGATAAATAGGTATGTTTCAGCTGCTGCGATCACTTAGCAAACTCTGCCCGTCTCCTGGTTGAAGGGGAGGAGATTATACTTAACTCAATCTGATTGTAAAACCACAACTACCTCAGCAAGTCTGGCTGGCGGAACTCAAGCAGTGATTTTCCAATGATAAACTAGAACTAAGTATTAATCTTTATTTGAACAAGAAGCCCAAAGGAGGGAGCTTGCTGTGAGATCTTTTTCTGGACAAAGTCAACTTGTTGGACATTCACAGATTCTCAGCAAACATGCCACTCGCTCGATCACTTTCCATGACCTCTTTAAATGGACTCCCTTTGTGGGAGGATGAAGATTTGCTGGTGGAAGACTTGATGTTGTTTGAAGTTTCCTGGGAAGTTACGAACAAAGGTTAGTTATTATTATTATTGCACACAGTCAATTTACTTTACAGTAATTTCTGTGAAGTGCTTTGAGACATATAGAAGACGTGATAAGCGCTATATCAAATGTAAGGATTATTATTATTATTTATCTAACAAACAATTGCAATAATAGAAAGGCACTGGGTTGGCTAAACTTCTTGGGAGTTATTCCAAAGTTTTTTTTAACTCTGATAAAGTTTAAAGGTAACCAATTATTTGGTCTTTTTTTTATCTGGGGATGATTTGTGAGTTGATATTTCCCCCCCCCCCCAACCCAAAAAAAGTTAGTAGTTTTTTTTAGTCGTAATTAAAAACTCAGTGACCTTTAATTCCCAGTTTGCTGTGTTTATCGGAGCGCTGGGGGAATGTGTGACCTCTAGAAGTTATTCATTTACTCTCAGAGCCTGAACACAGCCTTACTATAGTGAGAGGGAGGGGGAGAGCGAGAGAGAGAGAGCAAGGTTGGGGACTTGTACTATTGCAGGAATGTAGCTTCATTAACTAACAAACTCTCCCCTTAAACAGACAGCTCAAACTCACACAAACTACATCACTGGCCTGAATGAAAATGGGAATCCACTTGACTCATGCCTTAACCTGAAAAAGCCCTCGCATGTATTGTACTTATGTGCTTTGAAGTTTGCAGAAACTTCTTCATTTAAACACTCACTATTTTCCCCCACAGTTATATAAGGTCACAGACTGTAAGTAGTTCATGGTTTCTGCTCTGTCTGAAAGCATTTTTTTGTAAAGATCTCCCTTTTCGCCAGATGGCAGCAAACTATGCAAATTGTAGCCTAGCTGGTAGCAAACTGAACTGTCCATCAGTAATCTAATACCTTTCCCAGTTACCATCTCCATGTTTAAATGTTATTTTGCTATTTGAATTAGAGTCAGGTTGCTGGCTAGTTAAGAGCTTGGAAATTAATGGGACCAGGGCTTCAGACGAGTTTCAATTACAAAATGCCTCAATTTCTAAATATCTCCACACAAATACTCTTATAATAAATTTGCATTGGATACAGTGCCTTATCAACAACAACTTACATTTATACAACACAAAAACAACAAGATTACATTTGTACAGCGCCTTTCACGTCGGGAGGACGTCCCAAGGTGTTGGACAGTGTACAGCGTTTCACATATATATATATATCACTATCAAAAAATAATAATCCCTTCAAAATTAATAAAATCATAATAATTTGGTCACTCAATCCATGATTGTTTGGCTGCCGCATTTCGCCCACAAAATATACAGCCAATTCACTTTACAGTATATTCTATGAAGTGCCTGAAGATGTCTTGAATGATGATTGAAGATGTGATAAGGCAACATGTGAAATGCAGGTAATATTACTCTTAACTGTACAAAACCCTATTTGACGGAATTGATTTTGGTCGTGTTTTATGGCTTTTATACGTGATCTTGCTTGTGTTTCCCCAGTTGGTGGTATCTTCACAGTAATTCAGACGAAAGCTAAAATCACAGTTGATGAATGGGGAGAAAACTACGTGTTGATAGGTCCGTACTATGAGCATAATGTGAGGAGTCAAGTAGAAGTGTTTGAGCCAACCAACCCAGCCTTAAAAAAGGCCATCGACTCACTGAATTTCCATGGATTCCAGGTAAAGGGGATCAATTGTCAATGACTCTGGAACAAGGATTTGCACAGGTTCACTATTGACACAGCAGTGCTGCATGGCCACAGCTTTAACGTGGTATACATGTTGATAAATTACAGCTTTAAAATGCCCACAGTTTCCCCACCCCCACCTCAATCCCTCCCTCCACCCCAGGCTCAGCGTCATGCTCTCCCACCACTGTCAAGCGCTCCGGGACACTACCCTGCATATATAAATACAAATACAAGTTGTTGTTGTTCATTGCAGTCCACCTTATCTTGTTCAATTGGAATGTGATGTCCCTCCACTACGTTTTTGAACTCCTCACGGCGAGCGTTTAAGAGACGAGCAAGTGGAGGACTGATCAAGTATTCGAGATTGATTTGCATTGCTTCGCTGATTCTGAGTGTGTTGGAGCAATACACAAACCGTTACAGTACTTTGTACCCATCCTGTATTAACATTCTCTACGCTTGCTAAAGGATTGAGAATCGATTATCAGGCAGAAACCTTTCCTTATGAAGTGGATGAAGACATTTTAAATATTTATATCACTTGCTCTTGTCATACCATGTTAGTAGCTGATTGTGGCACTGAGAAACTAGTCATTGCAAGTGTGTCAGCCTGACTCAGTTGGTAGCACTCTGGCCTCTGGTTGTGGATTGAAGCCTACACTATACAACTTGGAACTTGTATAATCTTGGCTGACACTCCAATATGGTGCTGGGGGTGGGGTTCCACATTGTCAGAGGTGCATTCTTCCCAATGAAATATTACACCGAGTTCCCGTCTTTCTGTTTAGATGGACGTTTAAAGATTACGACGTGTTTTACCGGCTTGGAGTCCAATCCCAAGTAAACTGCTTCAGAATCCTTTGTTTTTGTTGTGTCTTTGTGATGCTCTCCAATCTGATTATTGCCCAGTACGTAATAGTAGAGAACTAAAGCTATTCACAACTGTAGGGATGGAATTTAATTTTTATTTCCCTTTCAAATCCAGATTTAAAACTAATATTCTCAAACAATCAATGCGGCCTTTAAATGACCCCCATCGTATTTTAATAAGGTTGGATTTAAATTCAATTTAAATCTATTGGTTCTGCTCAGTACAAAATTGTTATGTTGTATATTTATAAGAGATGGTGTGTTTGATAATTTGGAACATTTAATATTGGGAAAGCAATAAAAGGGAAATAACATCCAAATGTTTGGGATTTAATTTGTGCAACAGCAGTAACATCCCATCTGATTGATTGTAATGGATACGTAATCTCCAAGTCAAAACAGAACAACAATCTTGGCAAAATTCTGTTAACACAGCACTCGTTCGTAGGTAAATCGCAAAGGGGAAAAAAAATTCCCTTCTGTTTACATTTCCAATATTTAAAGTTCAACAAATTTAGTTAAATATTTTATTTTGACTCGATCAGTAGAGTTATGGGACCCGACGTGTCAAGCGACTGCCAGGGTGGAGGAAGGCCAACTCGATGGACCTTGGTTTTCTTTCGCCAGCAAATTCTTACGTTCTTATATTGCAGATTAAATATTTAATCTTTACTTTACATTGGCAGATTATGTTTACAATTTGCACTGACTCCTGGAATATTTCCTCAGGTTTACTTTGGCAGATGGCTGATCGAAGGCGGTCCTTATGTGCTATTATTTGATATTGCATCAGCAGCCTGGAATCTGGACAAATGGAAGGCAGAATTCTGGGAAGCTTGTCATATTGGCATCCCCAACCACGATACGGAATCTGCCGACGCTCTAATATTTGGATCGCTCACTGCTTGGTTTTTGAAAGAGGTACAGTCTTAACGTCCGCTGCAAACCGATATCTTAGCAACTTTTGTTAGGTCAGGGTTTCTAGGGATACGGGGCAAAGGCGGGTGATTAGAATTGAGGTATAGATCAGCCACGATCTAATAGAATGGGGGAACAGCTCGATGGGCTGAATAAAGCAAAAAAAAAAAGGAGTGAAGTATGAATTGTTACAAAGAAATGGTAGTGGAGTCGGGTAGCTCAGTGGTTAGAGCACTCGCCTCGCAAGCTAGAGACCGGGGTTTGATTCCCAGCAAGGCAAAATATTGGGCAAGTTTCCCAACGTTTCGCCATGCTGGGAACACAGTTGTTAGTCAGTTGGCAGATCGCTTTTCCAGACGTAATAATTCCTTCCAAAACAAATAATAAAATGGTCACTTCAATCGATGGCTGTGTGTGGGACGCTGCTGTGCGCAATTGGCTGCCACGTTTCTCCCATAAAATACACAGTCAATTCACTTTGCAGTATATCTTGTGAAGCGCTTTGAGACGTCTGGAAGACGTGATCAGGCTCTATATCAAATGCAAGGATTATTATTATTATTACAAATGCCATCTTACTAACGTGGGCGTTTGTAAGAGGCTAGTCATGACTGTCAGCCTCGGGAGATGGTACTGGCAGCTTTTCAATATGTGTGGTACAGTTGATCTTTACATCACTGTAGTTAGCTTTCACTATGTTAGTCAGTGTTGGCTGGCATTTAAATGTTTGCTCTATGGTGGAGGAAAGATACATGGAGATTAAGTGAAAAGAGCTGGCAAGTGAACAAGTGGCAAGTGGCAAGTGTCCCGCACCAGGCTTCGGGACCACATCACTCCTACCCTCGCTCGCCTCCACTGGCTCCCCATCCCCCAGAGGATTGATTTCAAGATCCTCATCCTCACCTACAAGGCCATTCACGGCCTTGCTCCCTCCTACCTCTCCAACCTACTATCCCCTACCTACCTGCCCGTACCCTCCGTTCCTCTGGCTCCGGTCTGCTCCACGTCCCCCGCCCCAACCGCCCTACTATCGGTGGTCGGGCCTTCAGCCTCTCAGCCCCGAGGCTCTGGAACTCCATCCCCCAGTGCCTTCGCCGCTTCCTCCCTCTCCTCCTTCAAGGCCGGTCTCAAAACCTTTCTCTTTGACCGTGCCTTCAGCTCCCCTCTCGACTCTCTTCCTCCTCCTCGCTCTCTCCCTTCCCTCCCCTCACCCTGACCATTTCCCCCCTCCTCTCTCCCTCCCTTCCCTCCCCTCACCCTGACCATTTCCCCCCTGCTCGGGTCATGACCCAACTGTGCAGCGCCTTGGGACGTCCTCCTGACGTGAAAGGCGCTCTATAAATGGAATCTTGTTGTTGTTGTTGTTGTTGTTGATGAACAAACTCCCAATAACCAGATGATACTCAGCATTGATTTATTAAAAAAATCCAGTTGGTTAACTAAGAATTCTATATCTAATGTTTTTTGCATTTGTTTATTGGCTGCAATAACCATTGGGGGTTTAACGTGGTAAATGAAAGATGCACTCACTGTCTTCATGAGAGTGTTTTTTGAACTAATGGACTGTGTGGTTGCCTAGTGTGGTGGCCTTAACGAAGGCCATTACTGTGGGACTTGTGGATACTGTTGTGATGAAAATATAATTTGCCTCGTCTGTCTCTCTCGCTTCCCACCACCCCCTAAAAATAAATTTGCCAAAATATTTTTCATGAAGATTATGCACCTTTTTGAATGAGCCATTTTGGTGAAAGATCCAATCTTATTACTTTAGCCTTATGAGCGTCAGTTGTAAGCTGTTTGTGTTTTTTTGCACGATTTAATAAGGATGCCTTCGCGAATTGAGTGCCCGTGTCTCCATTCATTTTAACGTCGGATTTTCGAAATGTTCCCTTTTGCCAGCTTACTGATAAGTTTCAGGATAAACCGAACGTGATCGTCCAGTTCCATGAATGGCAAGCGGGAGCTGGTCTGGTGCTCAGCAGATACAGGAAACTCCCCATTGCAACAATCTTCACCACCCACGCTACCCTGCTGGGCAGGCATCTGTGTGCAGGCAATGTTGATTTCTACAACCAACTTGACAAGGTAATGCTATTCACCGTGCCTTTGCCAGGTCTTCTGAATTCAAGGTACACCTGTTAGACCGTTAGTGAGTTTTTTTTGGCCTACTTTACAGTCCGGTATCTTGAATATTTTCTGGCACAAATGAATGTTGGTTGGTTGGTTGGTTGGTTAGAATTTAAACGTGCGAGTTACAAACTTGGAAATTCCCACAGCACTGGGAGGGGGGAGCAAGTGGGTGGCTATCAAAGAGCCCGACTGACCTAGCCGCTCCCTTCACTCAGCGAGCGCCAGCCTGCTTCATTTCCCCTGCCCACTCCACCCCACCATCAGTGAGGGAGTGGGTTTGCACCCATTCTGTCCTTGCTCTCTGGAATTCAATTCTGGTGTCCTTCTAACTTGCTTCCTCTCTCCCCTCTTTCAAGGCACAACTTAAAATATACCTCTTTGACTGCGCTTTGTTATCTTTCCCTTCCCCACCTTCCTTTGACCTCCAAACCCAGCATTGTGAAGCGCTTTGAGAGCGCTTGCTGATGGTGAAAGGCACTATGTTTCTTCCCAGCACCCATCACTATAAGCAATGTGTGGGTGGGAGTAAAGTAATCAATCGAGCTTGTGTATGGTGAAGCTCTCAGGGATGATCTCTCTTGTGGAATGTAGAATTTCTACTCTTTGTCCCAGTTTAACTTGTTTCTATGGATTTCACCATTGGTCAATTGACGAACATTTAAGTTTGAATTACGTCCGTTTATTTGAAAACTCACTGTTTGTGAATTTAGCAGCTGGAAGAGCTAAGTTACTAAGCATGGCAGATATTTGAAACCATCAGAAGCAACACTACTCCATATTTTCCAAATAGCTAGTTTTGGGGGCAACATTGGTATAAATTAATTGTATCTGGTTTTAAGATTACTATTGTGGTTGGAAATTACTGATGCAATTGTATTTGTTTTGCAATCGGGCTATCAGTAAATCACCAAAGCTCCGAGATAGTTATTTTGCTTTCCACAGCGTTTTGCAATCTAACCCTCCTTGTCCCCAGAACATTTTCAGACTTGTCAATTGTCATATTTTCAAATTTGACAACAATTAGACTAATCGTACAGTGTCCTGGTGAATGCTATGGTACAATAATTAGATCACTCATAAAACTGTCAACAGTGGGATTACTTAGCCTGTTTCAGTACTACATTAAACCAGCAATTAAACACATTATTTGACTTCAAATACATATTTGTCCAAATGCAGTATTCCATTTCAATTGGATTTACCTTCCAAAGGGCATTTTTCATCCAAATCGATCTTGTGGATCAAATCTGAAGTGTGGAAGTAATTACTGTGAGTGTTATCTCATCAGGGATTACGGGATTATGAGTAGCAACCTGATAATACTGTGATAACTAATGATACTGTTCAATTAGCATGTTGCTGGGAAACCCTATGTAGGGGCTTGGGTGTTGGAGATGCTGCTGGAATAGCAGCAAGTATGTTGTTGTGGGTGAGAGAACAGGGCTATTGTGTGTGTGTGTGTATATATATATATACAGAATAAGCCACAAAAGTACTTAAACAGGCACGCAATTGTCTGCAAACCATTCTCATTTGGACTTTCAAATTAGGAGTCCGAAGTTCACTAGTGTATGCAGTGGCCATTCTAATAGAATGGAAACTAATGCTACACGTGAAACGATTTCTTGAAGACATTTTTTTTGAAAAAAAAGACTTTAATCTGTTTTTTGAATTCTCATTTGTCCTTCAGCGGCTGGCGATGGAATTTATCTCCCCGTTTGGTCCTTTGAGCCTGAAATTATATTGAATGCTCTCTTGCCTCCAGCGATTTGTCCATCAGTGTGATTTTTAATGAACAAACCACAGATCGAACCACAGTGATTTACCAGCCTCTTGGGCTTTGCTAACCTTTTTTCTTATTACAGTCACGAAAGCCTTGTTAGAACATCTGATCACTCAAGTAAATGTTAGACTGTCAGGCACTGTAATAGCGAATAGTTGTTGAATTGTCAATCGATTGCCTTAGAAAGGTATGATTTTTGAAAGTTGTTTCTTGACTACGCCTCTATGGTTATTTTTAAAAGAAAAACTTGCATCGTGTCTTATTTCTGAAGTGAAAGAATCTGCTTCTTATTGTACTTTTTTTATTATTGTTAAACAGTTCAACGTTGATAAGGAAGCAGGAGAGAGACAGATCTATCATCAGTATTGCATGGAACGTGCCAGTGCTCACTGTGCACATGTGTTTACAACAGTGTCTGCCATCACAGCGATCGAGGCAGAACACATGATAAAGAGAAAGCCAGGCAAGATTGATCAGCCTAACATTTATGCTCAAGCAACTTTGTTAACTCAAAGTTTCAATGGAGTAATTCTGGTTCAATTGTGGAGTCCTATACCTTACTGGTTACAGCGCTCGCCTCGCAAGTGAGAGGACCTGGGTTCGATTCCCGGACAGGGCGAAACATTGGGCAAGCTTCCTCGCTCCTCTGTTTACCTAGCAATAAGTAGGGACCCGGTTGTTAGTCGATTGGCGGATCGCTTTTCTGTGGGTAATAATCCCTTCAATAATTTTTTTTAAAAGTAATGATTTGGTCACTCAATCCACGACTGTTTGTGAGACGCCGCTGTGCACAATTGGCTGCCGCGTTTTGCCCACAAAATAGTCAATTCACTTTACAGCACATTCTGTGAAGCGCTTTGAGACGTATCGAAGACGTGATAAGGCATTGTATCGAGTGCAAGGATTCTTATTAAAGAGCTTTTATTAATGTAGGATCCAATAAATAACAGGTTGTCGATTTTAAAAAGAGTTCTGATGCAAACTGAATGCACTTTTTTTTAAAAAAAAAGACACGACTATAACATTAAAAGCTGTTTTCTCTTGGATCCAGATGTCATCACACCTAACGGGTTAAACGTTAAGAAGTTCTCTGCCATGCATGAGTTTCAGAATCTGCATGCTTTGCACAAGTCTCGAATTCAAGAATTTATTCGGGGGCATTTCTATGGGTATTGTATACTGTCTTTTTTTCTGTTTAGTGTCCATTGTAACACACTGCATCTCGATATCTGAGAAATTAGACTAGACTTGAAATACTGATTCATCCAATGATGCAAGTTTTAACTTCAGTCTATATTTGAGGCTAACGTCCCTTAAACGTAGTTCAACTACATCCATTTATGATATTTTAGGCGTCTTCAGTTTGTGTATTTACAGTCAAGAAATTGTAGAGGGTAATAAGAATAAGTACTGTACATTTAGGAATTTGTAATTTGCTGAGAAATTTTTCACGGGATGTTTTAATCAGTTTCCAGACAGACTCAATAACAACAACAACAACAACAAGATTACATTTGTATAGCGCCTTTCACGTCGGGAGGACGTCCCAAGACTCTTATCAAATAAGAATATTTTATCTAAATGTCTGCACATTATATGAATTATGAGAACTTTGTTGTGAACATACCTGAGCAGAAATCTAATCTAATGCAAATTTACCGCATATTATTGCAAATTACCACTGACTACTTTGATCACTTTCTGAAATCTTGGTTTCTGTCCATTTCTGGTTTTCAATGAACAAAATGTTTCAAATCCTTTGCAAAAGAGATAAAGTACAGTTATTTTAAGTGGGATTGGAATGGCTAAACTAGTTACTGAAAGGAAAGATACAACCCCCTGGTTCTCTCTACCCTCCCCCTCTCTTGGTTTACTTGGTGAATGTATTTCCTTTTCACTTTCTGGTGTATGTGGAAATCCAGCAAAGTTTTTAATAAACAAAACAAAGAAACACAGTAAAATGAGTTTAATGGAGTCGGGAGTAGGATCCTAGCAATACAATGATCAACCATCTTAATGACAACATCCAGTAAGATCATTATACTCACTATTGGTGAGGGAACCATAGTTATTTTGATGTGGTAGTTCAGGATGTCAGCGTGACACGATTTATGGAATATCTATTTAACTACTGAATTCAAATATTTAACATAGTCATAAAATGGTAAGTTAAAGAAATTCTTCATGAAACCTGGTTCTTTGATTCCAGACACTTAGATTTCAACTTAGAAAAGACCCTCTTCTTCTTCATTGCTGGAAGATATGAATTTTCAAATAAAGGAGCGGATTTATTCATGGAAGCTTTGTCCAGATTAAATTTCCTCCTCCGGGTAAGAATGTAGGTTTGTTCAAAAAAGATCTTCTTCAAACTATTCCACAGCATAAAACTATATTTAAACCTCTTATTAGTTGCTGTTTTGGGTAATATAGATTGTTGATTGCGTTTAAGATTGCATTTAAGATGTAGACTTAGACTAAACTTGTTGAGATGCGTAACATCGACTGGTAACTTACCTTGAATCATAGTAATGATTTGACGTCTGGGTTCTAAAGTCAGCAATTGCATGGTGCGCAACGCACAGGAAGTGACGATCGTACCACCTGAAAGTCGGATATTTTCAAATTTCAAAAAGTTTCCCCTCAAATCCCCAAAGAATATAAGCATCGTCAGAATATTCAACCACTGAACACCACTTAACCCGCGCTTGCTTGTAAATAGTGCCATTTCACAAATGTTAAATCGACATTTTTCTACTTTATCTCAAATGACCTTTAACGGCAGCTGGATTGGCAAAGCAGAGGGCTTAACTCATCTGGTTAATGTTGCGTGTCAAACTTTGCATATACTGTAAAATAATCCAACGCGAGCATGTTTTTAAGTTCATCTATTCAAAGATCTTCATTGAAGAGCAGTGTTTTTTTTTTGTGAGCGCATTTAGAAGCTAACAGGTCTGACAGGGCTCCAAACAAAGTTGTTTCTGGCAAAGTGATTCGCTGAATGAATCTCTCGCCCATGAAAACACAGCAAATGAGTTTCTTTTGTTCAGGAGACCTCGTGCTGTTAAATGGCACAACACCAAAGCGTGTTTATAAACCCTTTGTGACATTTATCCAAACTTTTTAACTAAGCTATTTGTAAGGCTCCTTTACCTTATCTTGCTTTCCTAACGCTTAAAATCTGGAGAGAAAAAAAATACAACTGGGAGCATAGCTTTTTAATGATCAAATTAGAACTCTCCACCCCCCGGGAAATTAACGAAATGGCAGGACAGCACACCGTCTAGCCTAAGGCTCCTGTTCAGTCGGTGTCTGTGCCCATGGGCTGGAGAAACCAGCCAACATATGTATTCCTGTTCACTGACCCTAGCGTGTGTTTGTGCACGCATGTGTGTGTGCGTGTGCGTGTGCGCACACAGTGAGGGAGAATAGCCGAGCTCTCAGTAATGATGGCTTCAAAGTTGAAACAGCCCCCTGACACCTTCTATAGACTTGCACATCACGAACGATCACTGCGGTAAATCACCATTTTCAGTGAGGGGGGTGGGGTGGGGGGAAGAAACATCCTGTTTCAAATGATAACCAGTTCAGAGGTTAGAAAGCTTTCCAGGTACATTGGAATGATCTTAATCCGCGTGGACAAGATTTAAGCAAATGAAAGTACTTCAGTCTTGGATCACGTGAGGTTCCATTCAGTCGTGCCTCACTGCTCTTGTTGGTTTTAAAACATTGGAAAGTATAAAAAGAACAGCTATAGAAAGGTTCGCAAGATCCATTCAGTGGTCAGTCGGTTTAAATAAGGCATTGGTTAAAACCCTTGGCCTCTTTGCCTCACCATCGCTCACAGCTGCTGCTTCACAGATGTTTTGAAGGGCTTTTAAAATAAGAAATTAAACTCGAAAGACAGGCAATCCTGACTGATGTGTTTATCTGGAACGATTAATGCGAGCGTGCATTGGGGCTGCATTAAAATTCATCAGTCTAATGCTAACTGTACTGTTAATAGAGAATCACGGCTCGGGCAATGTAAAATAGGACACGGTAGCTTCCAGTGTTCAGGCCTAATTGAATGATGATGGATTAAAATGTACATTAATGAAGTGCTGTACTCAGGGTGTGAAGTACCGGTCTTGAATATAATGTGTATTTTAGGTGCACAAGTCGGATGTAACCGTGATAGTGTTTTTCATCATGCCCGCCAAAACACACAACTTTAATGTGGAGACGTTGAAAGGACAGGCCGTACGGAAACAGCTATGGTAAGCTCATTTGTTTTTAGTATATACTCTTCACCATCCTCGTTTGGTTTAGTGCCATTGCCAGTTGCCTCACTGTCCCGCGATGTGGTGAGGAAGCCAAACTACCTCAGCATCACTCAGACGTATTAGTTGCGTACAACGGAGCTGCATTTGTGGTTCAAAAAAAATGAATCCCAAACAACCTTGTAGCACTTAAACTGATTTCCGAGTGGCCGCCTGTGTCACTCTCTGCGTGTAGCACCTACGTAATGTGCAGCAAGCGATCTCTTCTCGATGATCTGGAAGTCAGACACGTTTTGCACAGGACAGTGTGCATTCACAGTGAACAAGATCTGGCACGTGTGTCCCAAACTACAGAGGCAGTTCAGGACATATGTGCCTGCGACCGCCAGGAAGGTGGAAGGCAAACTAGATGGACTTTGGTCTTTTTTCGTCCAGCATTTTTTATGGTCTTATGAGATCTTCAGTCAATGGAATCCACATTGGAATCCGCCTTCTAACAAAGCACTTTATAACCGGGTTCCACTGTAGTACCATCATGAGGAGGAAACGACTGCCTTCGCCTCACTCTGCAACCGACCCCTGGTGATGCAGTACATCTGAAGTGTGAAATTGCTATGTTCCGCTGGTGCAGGGAACTAAACCGTTCCTGAACGTAGGTTCTAAAGGCAGGTGCTCCGGGGAGGGGAACGAAAAAGTGGATGGAAAATACTGATCTATGGGATTCAATGGAGTTTTCAATTTGAAATCTTACACCACAACAACTTGCATTTACACAGCGCCCCCTCACCCACGGCAGCGTCCCAGAGCGCTTGAGAGTGTCGGAGCACGGCACTGTTTGGGGGGGGGAGGGGGAGGGGGAGGTGACCGTAAGCACAGGTCGAAGTGGAAGATCTTCAGGCACGACCTGAAGATGGGGAAGGAAGGGACAAGGCGGAGGGAGGGATAGAGGAAGAGTTTTAGTCACTTGTGTAAATTCTTTGTCTCTTTGTATTTGAGTACAGAGTTTTTTCGGCGTTAAAGGACAACCGGTTTCCTCTGTCTTCCCAAATGAGCTGTGTGCTCTGTCACTAAGTGCCAGTTAGAACTACTAACGCCTACTTACTCTTGCAGCTGAAATTCACTGCAAACTATTACTGCGTATTGATTCAAGCGTTTCATAGTTGGCTTTTACTGAATTAAACTGCAATTAATTGCTGCAATAAAACCTTAAAACCAACATTAAATTAAACCACAGCTTTGTGTGCTTAACCACTCATCACCTTCAGCCATCAACCGAGCCTGTCCTTTCTTTAGCAGCTGACAAGCTCTCTGGGCTGTACTTTATACTGCTCTTTTCTAAAGCGTTTTTAATAAGATGGAGTCCTGTAGCTCAGTGGTTAGAGCACTCGCCTCGCAATCGAGATGACCTGGGTTTGATTCCCGGCAGGGCATAACATTAGGCAAGTTTCCTTACTCCACACCGTCTGTTTACCGGGCAGTAAGCAGGAACCCGGTTGTTGTTCGTCAATTGGTGGATTGCTTTACCAGGGGTAATAATCCCTTCGAAAAAAAAATAATAATTTGATCACTTAATCCAAGACCATTTGGAAACTCCCTGAAATAACCTGATCAAAGAACTGCATGGCCTTTATTCAGTGTTTCTCTATAATGAATGAACGATTTAATGTTCTCTACTCACTGGGACATTGAATAAGAATCTCACAAAATGTATATCCTTTGCAGGGATACTGCTCATATAGTGAAGGAGAAATTTGGAAAGAAACTTTATGAAGCATTATTAAAGTAAGTTCAAATTTATGTGCATTTGTTCCAAGCCGTTCAGAGCACTTGTTTACAAATCTTAACTTTAAGCTAAAACAGTATTTTTATATAATATATAATTTTTGATTTGTCAACACAAACAGACATATAACTTGTATAGGATTGTCCCTTGGACTGAGCATCAAGTGAGAATGCGTAAGTTTACATTAGCTCACCATTTCAGCTTCTATTCTGCTTGTTTGTTTCTAGCATTAGACCAGCTTTCCCTTCTAGTTATTAGAAAAATCTGGGAGAGGGTGGGTTTCTGTCGACGGGAGTCCAAATAGCACAAGTGCATTACACAGTACTCGAATAAGCATCTTTTTAAAACTATACTGCTAACATTTCTTAAAGCATATAAACTCGCTACTAAAATCCACTTTACCATACGGTCAAATGTCAATTGTTATAGCCGCTCTACGAGCCCAGAAATGACTGTGATTTTTTTTTTAAATTGTCTAAATCCCCTGAGATGTCGTTGCTGTTTTGGCCCTGTAATTACAGAGGGGAGATTCCAGATATGAACAGGATTCTTGATCGGGATGACTTGACCATCATGAAACGAGCCATCTACGCAACTCAGGTATAAGTGGCGGAAGTGCAAATGGCTGCCTCACAATGTATAAACAGTGACTTGAAGATCTGGGTTTGTTTTTAATGGCTTACAAAATATTGCATGTGGCTGGTTTTCATTTCTAACCAATAGAAAACTCTATTTGTGATGAAATACCGTCTCTGTCTTCCGGCTTGTGACAAGGTTCAATGGTTTAATCGCTTGCTTTATTTTTATCCTGAACACACTTGTTTTGTTTTGTGGCCATTGATCAGAGCTTTGTTGTTTGCTATCTCCAGCGTCAAACCTTGCCTCCAGTGACCACTCACAACATGCTGGATGATGGCAACGATCCCATCCTCAACACTGTCAGGCGAATCGGGCTGTTCAACAATCGGATGGACAGGGTCAAGGTAGACATTTCAGCTCGTTTCCTTTGAAGATTTACTGTTAGACCAAACATCAAGTCATAATAATAAAAATAATAATAATAATCCTTGCATTTGATACAGCGCCTTATCACGTCTTCTTGACCTCTCAAAGCGCTTCACAGAATGTACTGTAAAGTGAATTGACTGTACATTTTGTGGGAGAGATGCAGCAGCCAATTGCACACATCAGCGTCCCACAAACAGTCGCGGATTGAGTGACCAAGTGGGTCATGTTATTCACATTGAAATATTCAAAAGATTCAGTGCTTAGTTTTGCCCACAACTATACAAATATACAGTCAATTCACTTTAAAGAATATTATGTGAAACACTTTGAGACGCCTAGAAGATGTGAAAAGCACTATATCGAATGCAAGGATTATTGTTATTAATTGGGTTGTAGGAAAAATTTTATCTTATAAATCTGGTGACTCCATTCACATATTCCATTTTTCTTTTGCGAGATGCAAACAAATTGTCACTGGACATGTCTTTATTCCAGATAACATTACTAAATAGCCTCCTATTCTCTTGTCTGTATACCTTAACATAGTGCTTATTTCTATTCTTCATTATTTTTTTATTTTTTTTGTAATTGTAGATTGTTTTCCACCCGGAATTCTTGTCCTCCACAAGCCCACTGTTGCCTATGGATTATGAAGAGTTTGTCAGAGGGTGTCATCTTGGTGTCTTTCCATCCTATTATGAACCTTGGGGATACACACCCGGTAAGTGTCCCTTTAAAATAAATCTCTGAAAGGGCCACGTTTAGAAATGTCGGTTCTCGTCTCCGGAAAGCAAAGCCCCAAAGTCTAGTGAAAGCTAAGAATCTACGACTTTATCTCAATTGACACCTTTCACGAGAGGAAATGAGCGTGTGTGGGGGAGATGGGAGTTCCAGCTCTTTATCAAAGAAGCCAGCTGTAAAGCTCTGTCCATAACTAGAACACACATTGCCTTGCCTACCCAAAGGGAAATTCTTAAAACTGCTCTTGTTTTGAATTGAGTGGACCCAATCAATGCCTTTACTAAATAATTAGCTCTCGCGTTTTAAAGCTTAGTTTTGAGCCGATCAATAAAAGACCGACCGATGCTAATAAAGTATTTGCCTCGTCTTTTCCGCAGCCGAGTGCACAGTCATGGGGATTCCCAGCGTGACCACCAACCTCTCAGGCTTTGGCTGTTTTATGCAGGAAAATGTAGCTGATCCAACAGCCTATGGTGAGTGTTTGTAATTAAATACTGTGCCCACCAGGTAATAAAAATAATAATAATCCTTGCATTTGATGGAGCGCCTTATCAAGTCTTTGAGGTGTGCTTCACTGAATGTACTGTAAAGTGAATTGATTCTAATTTGTGGGCAATGTCTGGCAAAGTCGTGGATTGAGTGACCAAATTATTATTATTTTTTTTTAAAAATGCATTGGATACTAAATCCTTGTGTTCTCTTCACGTTTACGCAAAAAAACCCCAAAGCCACGCTTGCAAACGTTCATGCTGCTTCACCCTGGTCTGTCTTTAAGGAATTTACATCGTTGATCGCAGATTCCGATCTGTAGATGAGTCCTGCAATCAGCTGACGCAGTTCATGTTCGGGTTCTGCAAACAGTCGCGTCGTCAGAGAATCATACAGAGAAACCGCACGGAAAGGCTATCGGAACTTCTAGACTGGCGATACCTGGGCAGGGTAAGCTATTTAATAATAATGATATAATAATAATAATAATCCGTACATTTGATACAGCGCCTTATCACATCTTTGGGACGTCACAAAGCCCTTCACAGGATATACTGTAAAGTGAATTGACCGCACATTTTGTGAGTAAAACACGGCAGCCAAATGCGCACAGCAGCGTCCTACAAACAGTCTCGGGTTGAGTGACCAAATTATTATTTTGGTGCGAGGAAACTTGCATAAGGTTTCGCCCCACTCGGGAATCAAACCCAGGTCCCCTCGCTTGTGAGGACTGCTCTAACCAGTATGCTGCGGGACTTAATAGTCATTGAATTTATTTTGGGGGGAATAGTTGAACAAAGTGAACCGAGTTATAATTTGGTTCTGTGTCTCACGTTTGGAACTTGAGGTGTCTGGAGTGTCGCGCATCTACTTGGCAAAGCAAAATGCCCGTGTCCCTTTGTCACCACGTTTTGTTGCACGTGGTAACCAGAAGGATCTGTGTAGTTATGATTGTATAATCGTGGTGTTTAAATCTCCAGTGTTACATGCACGCCCGTCACCTCGCTGTGTGTAAAGCCTTCCCTGAGAAATTCCAAATGGAACCAATTGCTCCACCGTTGGTAAGTCTATCTATACAGTACAAACTTACATTTAAATGGCACCTTTCATGTCGGGAGGACGTCCCAAGGCCCTGGGAGATGGGATCAGGGAGGATGGAGGGCAGGGAGAGTGACTGAAGGCATGGCTGAAGAGGATCTTGAAACATGCCTTGAAGGAGGCGAGGGAGGGAGCGAGGCAAAGGGAATGTGGGATGGAGTGGGGGCGGAGAGGCTGAAGGCCCGATCACCGATGGTGGGGTGGACCTGGAGGGGGACGTGGAGCAGGCCGGAGCCTGTGTTTTGTACAAATGCAACCTGCAAAATTTCTTTGATGTCTTAAAAACTCTGATTTTCTTTAAAATCAGACCGAAGGTTTCAGATACCCACGGCCAGCCTCCGTGCCACCGTCGCCCTCTGTCTCCCTGCATTCTAGCCCACACCACAGCGATGAAGAGGACGGTTCTGATAACGAACACGAGAGATACGATGAGGATGAAGAAGCGGAGAAGGATCGGATCAACATTAAAGTCCCCACTAAAGCGAAGAGCAAGTAGGTTTACCCCAAATGAAGCAGGTGACCCTATTTCACTACAGGAAATGTGCTGCAACTGTATTTACAATGACTGGAGGGTGGAAAATAGGAGTATTTAGGTATCTCAGGCCGAATCCACAAAGCTGTGTTAAACTTTATTCTGTGAGAGACATAACATTTTGGCTATCGAGCACCAAAGTGGTCATTTTGTTTGGAGTGGTTAGGATTGGGTGTTTGGGGTTTAGATTGTAATGCTTGATGTTCTCATTTTTTTTTCTCTAAAATCTGTCCTATAAACATCACTGTAAGAATGAGGTTCATCATTTTCGCTTTGTTTAACTTTGCTTTCAAATGATAGACATCTAATTGTGTTTTGGATTATCTCTGGCTTCAGATGAAGAACGTTAAGCTTTCCTTTGGGATTATAAATTGCCTGCTTTGCGACACTGACATTTTCTGCTACCAATTCGCTCGTGGGGATATTCTGGCACCAATGTTACACATAATTTAGGGCGACCATTTTAGTCTATTTATTGAATTTTACTGTTGGTTCTTTAAACGGGTACATTTCATCAGGCCATCAGTCGTTTGTGATGTGTTCTTAGGCAATCGTGTAGACGTGTTTCTCAATGACATGGCTTTAGGCCTCAGTCAATGTTTGTGCTTCCTGATCTCTTGTAGCTTCCACTAAACTATTTGTTTGGTTACTCTTGGTCTGTTTGCTGTAAACCACCCCCGCCACCACCAACCAAAATAAAAACTAACTCAATGTATAAACTTCCTGTTTAACTTCACTGAGGGCTGCTCCATTCTGTGGTGCTGATATCCAGACAGATGCTGTTTATCATGTCAGTTATTTTCATGCTAATGCACACACCAAAAGTGTGACAAAAAATCACAAAGTGAAAGATTTTTATCGCAGTGATTAGAATTAAATTGTCACTCACGGTAGCACAATATAAGAAGTGGGGAGAATCCAATATTAAAACTGGATCTTATTGGTTGGGAGTAATGCAAACTCTTGTGGTTCACTATTCTTTTTTTTCCCTTTACAGCAGTTAAAAGCACAAGTTCAGCTGTTTACTGAGCTGGGGGTGTTGAGTGATGTAGTGTAGTAGACCGGCAGACAAATGTCTTCAGTAAAACCATCCATCATAGCCTTTCCATCTGCATTACAATTGTGGTGTTCAATAGACATCTTTCTAATTCTGTACTGACAGTGTCATTGAGCTAAATGTTCGTCAGCAGTTCAGGAGACGTCCAAACTTGTATTGCTTTATTTTTTATGTAAACCATTTTATATGTTGCTGCTCTCTGCAGATTTCTAAATGTGTGTCTAAACCACTGACCATGCTCCCTAATTAACTTCTCTAACATCACTTCCTAGAGTTGTGTAAAACAACTTTAGTGTTGATGCAGGTGTTATCTCCTTTAATGTGAAAAAACCTAACCGTTCCTATTTCCCTTTCCCTTTGATGAGCTACATTCTGTAATTGGAACATTATAGTATGAACAATTATGATAGTCGTTGTTCCATCACTTGGTTTCAAAGGATTAAGAAATAATTGCACATCTTACAGTATGTCCTGTGTTGCAAAAGCCGAATATTAGCAACATGTATTTACTGCTGCAGCTTTTGACAATGTTTGTACTTTTGTACAAACTCCAGTGATTTTAGAATATTCTATTTCGTAGAGATGGTGAATGAAGTGCAGTCGCTCATCACAAAGACGGTTCAAAAGATCAATTGTGTTTGTAGTAAACGACAGGAATGTTTGTCTTGCATTTCTGAAAAGCTTGCCTGTAAATAACAGCAGTGCATCCGAAAAGGACTGTTAAGTGGTCTGTTTATAGCTACTCTTTCCAGAGCATTACACCAACTGGAATGTGAATTGTTTCTTTGTTTTAGTGTAAAATTGTTTAAGATTGACTATCTGGATTATTAAATGAACTCTCTCTTTTAAAATGCAAACCAAATCTTTTATCCTGTCAATACAGCACCATTATTCACTTGTGTGATATGTTTAAGAATATTGCTTAAATGCTGCAATTTATTCTTTAACTTGCACTTATGCCAACTGATTTGCAGTTAAAGTTGAACTAAAGTCCAAGAAATTGTGTATTTTTGATAAACATAGGTGTTTAAAGGAAAAATAAAAGATTCATAGACTGGATTTATTTTGCGTCCCTTTTTTTGTGGGCTAAAAAGAAATTAAGGTTCTGGGTTCTGTTAGGATTCATATACTTTAATAATTTATCTGAAGAGACTGAGCTTCCATTTGTACCTCAGTACTTAAGGGAGATTAAATCGCAACACATTTGTGTTTTTTGACTAAATAAAGATTTAAAAATCTACAATGGTCAATAAACCTTTCAGTGATACTTCTGTGAAGCACTTGAAGTTGTCTTCCTGAGATGAAAGGTGCGATAGCAAATGCAAAGATTATTTATAATGGTTAACAAATGACTCGCTTGCAATTTGCAGCCCAGAAGAAGGCCATTCAGCCCATCGTGTCCTATTCTGCTAAGAACCTGACTGCAAAATTCAGATTGGATATAAAGCTGGTGTGGAAATGCATCCTAATCAGTGTCTTTAAATCTACCTATTGTAAAATGTTCATCACTTGATCTTAGTTATTGCTCTTCCATTAACAATAAACACTGAAGCAAATTTTTGAAATATTCAAAGATTACGATTCCATCAGTTTATCTTCTATTTTTTTTCTTGATAGCCCTCTGCTAACTCTATGGATCAAACTTGGCAATCTTGCCTGATTTTTTTTTGTTGTTGTCCTGTTTACCAGTTCCTTTTTATTCCCAACAATACTGTATCAATTGATTGATATTGGCTATTTCTGAGCAACTCGCGAGTAAAAGTACATCCAACGTGTACTGTTAGTTCTCCATTGTTAGTGATTTATTTCAGAGCAGCAAAGGGGACAGAAACCATCTCCTAAGGGTTGTTCGGTTTAAGGAAACCTGGTTTCAGTGCTAATGTACAAGGATAGTCCTGCTATCCTAGGAAACCAGTGCAATTTATTATAAATCTAATGATATTAAGCCAAGTGGGACTCATTAATTCAGTGTGCAATAAATGTCATTAAATTTTTACTTTGGTCAATTTATTGTATGTTGATGAATGGCACCACTAAACATTTCTCATACAATAACAAAGTCGATTAATTCAGATTTTGAATTCCACTAAAATAATAATAATAATAATCCTTGCATTTGATATAGCGCTTTTCACGTCTTCTAGGCATCTCAAAGAGCTTCACAGAATAGACTGTAAAGTGAATTGACTGTATATTTGTGGGCGAAACTCGGCAGCCAATTGCGCACAGAGGCGTCCCACAGACAGTCGTGGATTGAAAATGACCAATTTATTATTGTCTTTGTTTACTGGAGGGATTATTATTATTAGGCGTGTGGAGTAAGGAAACTTGCCCAAGGTTTCGCCCTGCCTGGAGTTGAACCCAGGTGTCTCAATCGCAAGGCTCTAACCACTGAGATACAGGTCTCCAAAATGCACATATAAAGTTTACAATTCTATCCACCCCAATGGGTAATGTAAAATAACAATTTACTGCCTAAAAGGGTGGATGGGGAATGCTCGGCCCCCGACATCTGACTGTTCAGCGCTTTGGGACTTCCTCCCGACGTGAAAGGTGCTCTATTAAATGTAATTTTGTTGTTGTTGTTGGGTAGCTCTTCCAAAGAGCCAGCAAAGGGCACGTGGGCTGAATAGCCTCCTTCTGTGCTGTAATATTCTATGATTCTTTGAATATTGTCTCGCTATGCTAGTAAAGTGGCCGTCTGTGTGGGTATTTTCAGATTTTTGTTATACACATCCGTGGTTTTGAACAAAAATGTAGTTGAATTGAAATGGTACTAGAAAACTCACACGGAGAACCGAATCAAAGTTTATCATTCTAGTATTAAGTGTCCTTTTTTTAAAAAAAATTGGAGAAAATAGAGCTAAAATGCAACTCTGAAAACCGGTTACGTTGAGCAATTTGTTTTAGAAAAAAGCTTTTGGATGCTGAACGACTTTTTAATTCAACAATACCATTCTACATTCGCCAAATGGGTTACGAAATTTATTTACCATGTAGAACATGATTGATGCCGCAAGGATACAGCTGTGGTAAGTAGCCATTTTGGTAGAGATTAGCACACATCTCAACGGATTAAAAATAGGTCTTTAAAATCCACCAATTCAGATGACTGGCTTTCTCCACTTTGGGCTGTCTTGCCAGAGTCCCCGCTGTTCACCTTCCTCTTTCTCATCTGTAATTTTAATAAAAGACAAATATAAGACTAAACTCCAAAGGAATATCTCTATTGATGGGTTTGGTCTCTGATCTCTTCCACATTTCCCATTCCCCACAACACACACTTCCAAATAAACTTCAAATACTCTCTGCATAAGACACCAGCATAATAGGTTACTCTCTTCAGGAGAAGGGGACAACCTCACACGATTGTTTTAAAGTGTCGCAAAACTTAATCAAATAAGGAAAACCTACAATTACAAAAATAATTGCATTTCAGAAACCTGCAGGATTCCCAAGCAAACATAGTAAAAAAAATCTTCCCTCTTTACTCTTTCGCCCACAAAATATATAACCAATTCACTTTACAGTGTATCCTGTGAAATGCTTTGAGACGTCTCGAAGACATGATAAGGCGCTATATAATAATAAAAATAATCCTTGCATTTGACATAGCGCCTTATCACGTCTTCGAGACGACTCAAAGCGCTTCACAGGATATACTGTAAAGTGAATTGACTGTATATTTTGTGGACGCAACGTGGAGACTGATTGCGCACAGCAGATGCAAGGATTATTATTGGTATTATTATGAAGAATATCAGATCCTAGCCTGCATAGCCTAGGATTCAGATCATCTCTTCAGCAATCTGGGTTGGTTTGGGGGGGAAAAAAATCAACAGGAGCCATTTGAGAAATGCCATCACTTCTGTGGCAAACACAGTTTTACTCAGTGCTCAATTTGTGTCCAAATTGTAAACTAACTAACCTGTCACAAGTGTATTAACGGTTCATAGTAATCGAACTCCCAGCATAATTAATAGAAACTTTCTATGTTGGTAACTTATCCGTATCTCCGACTCGTACAGTAATACTTGAACCTGCAAGAAAGTTGCCAAACATACTTATCTTGTGCCTGTCCGATCAAATTCATCACCATAGCAGTTGCTTGTGAAAGGGTTAAGGGGTTAGAGTTTTCACTTCTAGTTTCTAATAAAGATGAAATTGTTAGTGTCACAAATGCAAAAATTAAAACACTTATTGACCCAGAAACCAAAATCTTAAGCATTGAGCAAAAGTGCAAAATACAGTCAATTCACTTTACAGTATATGCTGTGAAATACTTTGAATCGTCTCAAAGACGTGATAAGGCGTTATATCAAATGAAAGGATTATTATTATTATTATTATTAAATACAAGCTTGTCTGTTACCAAGACCTAAGGTTTCATAAAGGGCTCCAGCTTTTCCGTTCTCGGCGATCAATCGACGTCCCTCTGTAAGGAGACATGAGGAGAGTTGAGTTCAGAGAAGGATACAGTATTCGAGCGACCAAATGATTCTATGGGACAACTTGAAAATGTTTGAAGGTGAAATCCACTTTGCTATTAGCCTGGCCCATTCAGAAACTTAGTACAGTATTGAGATGAGTGAATGCGAGATATCTTACTTTTTAAGCAAAGGTTGACTTTCATTTGTGGATCTATACTTAATACTGATAATAATCAGTAATAATAACAAACGATTAATTATAAATAGTTAATTAATAATGAATAATAATAAAGCAAGTAAAGTAAAATGCGACTATTTGAATCATTGAAAAAGTATATAATCTGTGTATATATTCACTGTGTATATATATGGTAGATAAAACACAGCTAATGGTGTTATGAAGCCTGAAGCACCCAGGAAGGCAGTTAATGTGAAGAGAGTCAGTCAATAGAAGGTGCTGGAATAGCTCTCTCGAACTTACGTGCGCCTTTCAAATATAACATAGCCTGAGGTGTCCAATTCCGTCTCTGAACCTGGTCCTGTACAAACACAACACACCGCCCTGTCACTGGGATACAAGCGGGGAGAGAGACTCACATACACACACACGCACCAACAACTTGCATTTATATAGCGCCCTTCATGCAGGGTAGCGTCCCGCAGACACCGCACACACACACACACACGGTTTAGCTCTGTACCTGGGGAAGGTGTCGAGATTCTACGAAGAATGAAAGCATCAGCAGAAGCAGGAGAGCGTAAACTGTGAGAGACACCCAGCCCTGCCCAGCGGGAGAAAGAGAGAGACAGAGAGAGAGAGAAGGAAATTCAGCAAATAGCCAGGCAGATTATTTAGTAGGTTCTGTTCTCCAGCTTTCTCTTCAAACCTGAAACACTTCCCACACATCCTGCACATATTGTATTCCTTAATCCAGTTTAAAATCGTGTACCTACCTCTTCAGCCTCCCTTCATCTCCTTCTGTTTGTTTGAAATTCTACTCTACTGTGCGTAGCACTTCACTTCACAAAAGAGCTCTATATAGCACTAGAAAAGTCACTTTAAACATTCACAGTGTTGCTTTTCCCCTCAAATAAAAACCTTGCCAACTTGCTCACAGCAGGACTACACATCAGGGATAGTCTTAACTCACTCAGCTCCTGAACACACACAATGTCTAACCAACCAGTGCAGTAATATATTCAGTCAGTCAGCCTGTTTGCCTCAGAATCTATCTAAGCCAATTCAATCTGATGCAAACCATCCACAAACAGCAAATAAGACCTCACCCACCTTCATGTCTCCCTTCGTGAACCTCCACCTGTAGAGTTGGTAGCAAGTGAAGTGTCTGCGTGACTTGGGGTAAGCTCCTGCTCTTAGCAATTGCACTCTTTAAATGCTCTTTGAGTGGTCCCTCTGGTTGTCTGCCTGATCCTAAAGGGGCCACATGTCAGTCAGTGCAGCAGATGGAGGCGAAACCACAGAGGGCTTCAGGAGAAGACTCCAGCTCCCAGCTAGCGAGTAACCACAGACATCCCCGTCCCATTAACCCGACCACTCGCTTAAGCTGTCAGCATCAATGTCTGAGCCTCTCTTACACATCATTTGCACGACGTCGGGGCCTCGTTTCAAAATCGATCGCAGCAACGTGAGACGGAGGCTGAGGGAATAAATTCCTGTCTGCGTTCAACGAAAAGTTCAGTGTTACAGTAACGCGAGTGGCGTTTTTATGTGAGCTGAATAGATAAGGCGCTATATCAAATGCAAGAATTATTATTATTATCATCATCATCATCATCAGTAATAGGATGGGGGCTCACATTGTACTGTGGATGGAAAGGTACCGTTGATTGAAATCTCGACAATAAGGCCATTTAGTTACCGCAACACTATTTATTTTTGTTTGCATTAGTAAAACAACATGATACAGCAGAACAAACATTATTCACACAACGGAGGCAGTACTGTAGGAATATTTACCTGATACAGTCACAATAATAATAATAATAACCCTTGCATTTGATATTACGTTTTCGAGACGTCTCAAAGAGCTTCACAGAATATACTGTAAGGTGTAGTGACTGTGTAACTTGTGGGTGAAACGCGACAGCCAATTGCGCACAGCGTCGTCCCCGCAAACAGTCGTGGACTGAGTGACCAAATTATTATTATTTTATTTCTATATTTATTTCTTTATTTGAAGGGATTATTACCCCCGGTAAAGCGATCCGACAATCGACTAACAACCGGGTTCCTACTTACTGCGGTAAACAGAGGGTGACCCAATTATTGCAAAAACGCATCATTAGCAAAACACAATTGAAATTTTACAGTGCCAACTTTAAATCTTTTACCGTATCAAGTGTACTTTTCTAAATACATTATTATAACTGTGCCAGGATGTAACAAGGATGGCCATTTGCGACAAAGTGACCGTTCAGATTGGATGATCTTGAAGAGCTTTTATTTCAGTCAAGTGACAAGGCAACGATAATAAAGTATAAATCAATCTCTATCCAGTTTTATTTTATTGAGAAAACACTCAGTGAAGGACGAGAGGTGACAGGGAAACCGGCAAATGGGAGACAGGACAGGATGTGACAAATCAATAATTTGAAAAAATGGTAAAATGATAATAAAAAAATGATGTTCAGATACAGATTTCTTCGGCGAACCGGAGTGAATCATCCTAAGGGTTCAGGGGGACAAATAAAAGTGGCCAATGAAGAGCTAGAAAACCGTGGCTGGTTGATCAGTATATGGGATGGGTGCTTTTCACGCAAAGGGTGTTAGAAATCTGGAACTCTCTCCCACAAAAGGCTGTGGATCCATTCACGTGTTCAAGACTGAAGTGGATAGGTTTTTGTTAGGTCAAGGTATCAAAGGATAGGGGTCAAGGGTGGGTAACTGGAGTTGAGGTACAGATCAGCTCTGATCTTATAGAATGGCGGAACGGGCTGAATGGCCTCCTCCTGTCCCCATGATGCTGTAATGTGGATTGAAAATAACAGTAAAATGCAAACCATCGATTGAGATCTGCGTTTAATTAACAGCTTCTGTTACCTTTGTTCTCACGTTCACGCTGACGTCATGAACTATTTGGATTACACGTTGGGGAAAGATTTGGTATTTCTCAAAACAATTTCAACTCTTTTCATTCATCATTGGACATCTAATCAATAGGAGGGTCAAGCAGCTGGATGTAACATCTAACACAAGGAGTATGGACAGTGCCCTATACCTAAAATGCCATTTCAAACAATTATGGCATTAATGTTACAGAATTGAATGCCACCATTAAAATTTATAACATGTTATATGAGAGAATAAAACCCTCTCAGAGGATTTGGCTGCCTCACAGGAAATCTCCCAAAGTAGGAATTGAAGTTAACAAGTGCCTCTCCAAACCATTTCCTTCACTTACTTGTTAAATAAAAATCGTCTGTATATGTAGCTCCATTATTCACCGCAGTAAAATATATATAATTCTTGCATTTGATATAACGTCTTATCACGTCTTGAAGATGTCTCAAAGCGCTTCACAGATTACTGTAAAGTGAATTGACTGTTATGTATTGTGAGCGAAACACGGCAGCCAATTGCGCACAGCAGCGTCCCACAAACAGTCGTGGATTGCAGGTCTGTATATGTAGCTCCATCATCGCTGAGAGAACTATGTCTTCTTGAATTTTATTTATCTTATTTGTCTAGTTTCCAGTAAGGTTCCCACTAGACAAGTAGTGCTTAAAAGCTTCCCAATGATTCAATAGATATTTGAAGTCAACGTAGATATTTATTAAAAGTATTGCTGGTGTGTTTCTGATTTCACAGAAAGTTGTCAAGTTGTCTCCCTTTATCTTATTTCCGGGAGAAATATCAGTAAACAGTAACTTTGCTAAACTGTCAAGTTCTGAAAGTGCGTCAATATTAAAACTCTTTAGGGATCCTGAAAGGTCATCTTAATTATATTATCTTCAAAAGACAGATATCTGTCAAACCATGAGCTGATTCTAGTTTTCCTGAGCAATGCTGATGATTTTGCAAAGATATGCAATTATAGAAGGTTTTGTGTCCGAACTATAAGGTTAAACATATGGCACAACGCATATTGTCATGACTCATATGGCGCTTAAGAAGTTCTGTCTTTGCGCTCAAGTTATCAATGGTGTGAAACATTCAGGTGTTTTTTTCTACATAATGTACACTAAGATTACATGCACCTGTGTGAGGATTCATGCTACAGCATTTAATGCTGGAATGTTAATCAGTGAGGGGATCCATGCTGATATTCCAGTTCAAATTGAAACATTTTCATAAATACACTGCAGAGCCAAAATGTAATTGCGCTTATCGATTCCGGTCTTTGGATACAAACATCGGGACATCCAATATTCTGCATAATTTGGGTCGGGTCCATTTTTAACATTAAGGAGTCAGTGAACATTCATTTGTTATTTAACGTTTGTGTTATATTATTGTGAATGTGTTGCATATTTGCTGTTTCAGCCCTTGTACAGAGACGGGAGTTTCTACTGCAGAGCTGGGAAGGGAAAGTTCTTTGCTATTGAGGCTGAATCAACATGTAATTTATTAATGGGTATAAAATAATTTCTTCAATACGTTAATAATTGGATCAAGGTTGTACTCGTCTTTGCCATCCCGGAACATGTTTTAACCCATGTCTATCTTTTAAAAACCTTTTTTTGGAATCTCACGTGGAAACCCATCACCGTACTTAAAACTATCCAGACCAAACTGAGAAATCCACGCAGCCCACCTACACACGGAAATCCCAGAGATAGATTGTTGGAATTGAATGCGCTCTCTCTCTCGCTCTCTCTCCCTGGAGGGACACATCCTGTTTACCCAATTCTGGAGAGTATGAGGCGCAGGTTGGCAAGAGCCAAGGTTTGGGGAGAGCCCAGAGTGTGTGTTGGGGTAACTGCCGGAGTCAAACCAGCTAAACCCACACAGCTTGCCATTGAGAGCGTTGTCTGGCAAGGTTTCCCACTGCTTGTCCAGCTAAGACAACCCTACCCGTTAGGGCTTTGACTTGCAGGGTTAACAGGAACCAACTAGGAAGAGTCCCTGCCCCAGTGACTGGTCTATCGGTAAACATATCTACTGAAGCTTCTACAAATACAAATTCAAGATAAGCCTTTGACAATGTTTTTATCTTATCAATTTTTATTTGCTTTCTTTAGTCTACAAATGTGACAGATGCCCATGTTCTGGATATACATATATATAATATATATATATATATTCACAAAATGATGCACAATGCATTGACTCCTCCGTTTGCTGTTGGGAGGCAGAATACAAAAATTTGAAATCTTAGGAGATGTGCCTGATACACTGTAAATATCCCTCTACGGTGTCACAGAAATAAATACTGACACGTACAGTATTGTTTGGGTGCAAAAAAACAGCCTTATGACATTGACTGCTGCTAATTGTTACAAAGATTTAAAAAGTTCTGAATCATTTTTCAGAGTACACCCTCTCTCTGAATATATTCATGGCTCAATTACCTCCTGTCTTCAATGGTGTCCGACATCAACTGAACCACCGCCTTGTACACAGCAACTTTGTGACGAAACCATGCACTTCAATGAAATAGTATTTTAGACCATAAAGATTAAACAAGCAGCTAAGTGCTTTTCAACAACAGGGTTTAAGTAGAAGTCATCTGCTTTCTGAACCTACTGTGTATTGACAATGAATTCAGCATAATGTAACAGAACCTTTTTAAGCGTTATCACATCATTCTTCGAGCTCGTAAAAGATCATGAAAGGTCAACTGCTATAATAGAAACTAATTATGCTTATTTTTTTTAAATAGAGCACCAATGCCGCTGGAAGTCAATAGCTACTGTTATTTGGGTTTTGGCTGCAATAGTTGATTTGTTCTCAGTGACAGACTAATGTGATGCTTTACCCACACTGCGCTTGAAGAGAAGTCATACTGACAACCAGTTTCATCAAACTATAGTAACAATTCTCACCGCATTGAGGGAATATTTAATTCAAAAAATTCAGTGCAAACCATTTTGTTTTGAAATGTACATTTACAAAAGCACTGTAAACACCAAAAAAGAGATTTCACGTGTTTGAGAAACTAATTATTTTCTTTTTTTAAAAAAAATCTTAATGTCCGATCAACGTCTGTTAAAGGTACATAATGTCAGAGGTGTCTGTAGGAATTGTGTGCCCAATAAGGCAGTTCACAAAGATAAAATCTCATTACCTTGGCCTTCCACATAGGAAAGTAAAGTTCAGGCACAATAACACAACAGGCATTTACTATGCTCAAAAACTTCTGCAAGGTTGGGCTAAGGTGATCACGCCTATAAACTAGATAAAACTAGTTTTGTTTTAAAAAAAAGTATGAAACTTAAGAAAAAATGAGCCAAATCCACATTTGTTAACTCAATAATGGTCGGATTGCTCAAGCTGCTGATGACTTGACTTCCGACAGAAAATGGCAATGCAGTCCCAAGGTTGAAGGTTACAAACTCACTACGATTTATTGAACGATTTGGAGTGGCTGTCCAGCGTACGGAGCAAAACATATTACAATGTGCTCCGTCTCAGAAGAAAATTGGTCTTAAAACTCAACCAGCTTGAAATTCACATTTTGCTAAGTGAGTTTTGTGACTTTTCAACTGGGTCACTTGTTAACAAGATGCTCCACTGCAAGGGTAGTAGAACTTACATGGTCCATCTTATCCAATTGGAGTTCTACCCCATTCCTGCTGTTCATGGATTAGGAGTAATGGTGGTTAAAGAGAGGTCCATAGACATATCATCCTGCCCTCCCTGTTGGGAGGAACTGTAGTAGCGAGCATCCTATATAGGGAAGTTTATTTTTGAAAAAGGGTCAGAGTCAAAAAACATGGAATTATACATGACTGTCTCTTTTCTGTTACAGGCAAAACACGTATCACTAACAGTAGCCTTACAACAAAAATATTTTAATATAAAGAATGCCACCCAGTTTCATTTGTTCCTACATAGATAACTTGGTAAAATAGAATTTTTTGAAAGGTTTGCCTGAAATGAACCTTATAAATATGATACAGTATTCCTGCAGCTGTTGTCCACCATTTGTCTGTGTTATACCATGCTGTTGCTTTCTCCCACTTTATCTGCAAGCTGCAAAAGAGAAGGAAATCTCAATTAACATCAAAATAGTTGAAAACTATTCGCCAACAAATAGTCTGTTAAACTCGGACATCAGTGATATTCAAAGTTCCTGTTTTAACCAGTGAAGGTAAAGATTGCCATGCAAAACTCACAGCACCTCACGTACTTCGAGACTTAGCATGACTAACCCACCTTGAATGGAGCACTCTCGCTCTCTCTCTCCATGCACTTATGTAGTGACAGAGTTCACACACACAAATATATAATATATAATATAAACACAAACACATATATTAAAGAACGTCACAGTAATTTTATGTCTTCATAACCTTACAGCTTCCTTGTGATGAAATGAATCTTGAACATGGTGTCCTATCCAATTTGAATCCTTATCAATTGACGTTCATTTTGAAGCTCCCCATTTATACTTATTTTCACTGAGCTGGATCTTTTGGTACTATTCCCCACCTGCCTGACCTGGTTCCAGGTCTCGGTCAATACCGATTACTGTATTAAAAACATGAAAATGTCCTTGAACGAGATGACAAATTAGAACTTCCTGTTGGGAATTTCCAGGCCTTTATTCACAGCTTCACGACATAGCAGAGATGGAGATATGTGGTGCAGGATAATGGCTACAAATACACTCTCACCACTCTGTGTTGTTGGAATTCAATAAACCGCACTAGTTGAGTGTGAAATTCGTTTTCAACTTTCAAAATACTGTATGTATATGTGAACTATACAATAAGAATCAGAAACATTTCAGTTAAACTCTAATGCCAAAGTTGTAAAGCAAACTGTAGGTTAAAGAAACACAGTTCAGATCTCAACTCACACACTCTTTGAATGAACTTCGATTTTTATACTGAAAATCAATTTTGCAATGGGTTGTGGTAGCAAAGTTAACAAAAAGCAATTAAAAAATAATACCCCTTCTCTTATTACTGTCTAGCCTTCTTGCATTTTAATTAAAACCGCTTTACGACACATCTAGATGTTTTAAGAGAGGTAAACAGACTCATGGATTCAACCCATCCTTCCAGGTTATGTAGAAAATAATATAACAAGGTACGTACTTCATGCTCAGCCTCCTTTATGATATCGTCAGCTTTAAAGATATTTAATGGAACATATATTAACAAACAGCACCAGCAAATCTGTTATTCAAAGAACGAGGTAAACATTTCCATGCAGGCATATTTGAGGAAAGTAAAAGTGCACAGGATACACAGACCGAATAGCCACAATTTAAAGTGGCGTGCCTCAGGGATTCAAATTTGAATGCCATGAGACAAACATTTATACCTGAGGAGGGTTTTCTGCCCCACACAGTGTCTAATATGCAAGATTAACATGGATTAGCAACACCGAATGGTAGAGAATAATAGTTTGGAAAATCAGTTTAACTTGCAAGTGAGAAATTCTTGCCAACTCAATCCGATTCAATTTCAACTGTCCAGTAATTCGATTAATTGGATCAAACATTGCATTTGTTTTCTGAATCAGATACGTCATTTAGAAACGTATAAGGATTTTTGGAGTTACTGATACATTCGTCACTTTTGTGTTTGATATCATTAAAACCCATTTAAGACTCACTAGAACAACCCTCAGTATTGTTACTGAATTTCCATTCAGAATCATTGCCCAGCTTTATACTTCCTTTATACGAACGAGAATGCATAAACTGTAAAATGCTGAATATCATAAAGGGGGTTAACATTAGTACAAAAAAATCACTTTAAAGCTCACTAAGAAATGGACAACGACTGAACTGATCTGCTACAATCCAGAAGGCACGAGGCTAGCTTTCATACGGTATCTTTCATAGCTAACGCACTGTATTACAAGAGTTTCCCACTTAACATACTTGAACTCAAAATCCAATTAAATGCAACCAGAAATAAGGACCACTCACATAACTCTTCCTACAGGGCATGCCACAGGAAAATGCTTTGAAATCTAAGTTTGAAAAGAATATAACACATAGTTGAAATGGGATGCGTAAAAACAAGTGGAAGTATAACTGAAGGCATCACCTCTAACCTTATTCTGTTCGACTCTACATCAGGAAACCAAGAAATCGAACAACTCCATCGTATTTGTGAAATGTGCTCTTACAGCTCATCACGTCAATTCTATTTCACATTGGCACTCTGACCTTCCCATGTTTGGCTTTCTATCCTGTTTCAGCCTGGTTCAGCGCAGTAAGAGAAGCATTCTCACTTCCCCCTCACACAATTAATTTGATGAAATGAGCACGTAGTTCAACCATTGGAAACCTTAGATGTGCTCATTCCTACATTCCAGTCAGTGTAATTCGCACGAGGCAGCTTTTTTTGGAACGATGCTCCACTTATCCTTTTTTCAGTATCTACATATCTACCTTCCCCCGATCTGTTGTTTTTGTACACTAACCCTTTAGAACTTTGTTTTATTTTCGTTCCCAGATTGACTTCCAGCATTTCTCACAGCTTCACTGTTTGCTTCTCTTACACCTTGCATTGCTGCACTATTAATAATAATTATTATTTTCTACTTTGATCTCAATTACAGCAAACCAACCTGTACAACGATCACCTGAAACCAACCCGATCTTCTTCCTCATTAACCCACTGACCTACCAACCAGTCTTGGTGGATTCACTATATCATTCACTATATACACCTAATTCTTGGCTTCACATGTTGCACTGGAAAGCAATCGTCCATCACCTCTATGAAACAGTACTTGCACTTTTCCCTTCTAATTGTCCCTCATGTCCTACTGCCATTGGGATTCAACTGTCCCATTATCACATTACAATCCTCTGTAGTCTCACCTGGTAAAACATCTATGCACTATCAAGCTACCAATCAGTAGACAGGAATGATTATTTTGTTGACCTCAGTTCGTGTTTCTGCCTTCTCCCCTCTTGTTATTGTACCTAACTACTGGATTTATATTGGTTACATCTTCCCTTACCAATATGGCCATTCCTTTGTCTATCTTAAGAGGTCTATCTTTGTAAAAAAAATATTATGCCACCTTATGTCCATCTCTTTCCATCTTCTGCTTTCTGTCAAGTTTCTGTAATGCCAACGGTAGAGATCATTCCAGTGTTTTAAACAAAAACAAGTTTGATTAGACATACAAGACGCTGTTTTAAAGACAGGAATCTCATCACCAAACCCTGTGAGCTTTTAAATCTCACTGTTGTCTACTTTGTTCTGTAGAACTTTAAACGGTAACTTTCAAACCTTTCAATTGTTGAGATCACATTGTTGTCTCTTTGACACAAATACAGACTCAATTGCTAAACAAAGTATGTGCTTTCTACATGTCACACAGGATGGCTTCATTGCTCACTGAATTCCAGCTATGCCACATACAGTTGAAGGGAAATTACAGGCTTACAAGTTTCACTAAAGTGATTCTGTGGGGAAACACACCCTCCTCTGGCGCCTGTCGAGGACACAATTGAGATCAGGTACTTATAAAGTAGGCATTTGCAGAAATAAACCCTTGCCACTGTTCCACACCCAACATAATGAAATGCTAGCAAACTATATCGTGGCTTTAAGTGATCTCAATCGTTTAAAGGAATGTTGAAGCTCCCGTGCTTTAAAACTGAAATGCAAACATAAAATTGCAAACGAGTGTTTTGAATTGATGCAACAAACTTGCCACTTCACCACATTACACATGTACTGAATTGTAAAATATAGCTGATTCCACTGAAATCAGTATATAGAAAAGTAAATCTAGAAGTACCAAAGCTCAAGACAAAGCGAAGCAACTACTGTACAAGTAATGTGACCCACCACAAGCTAAACAATTTCACTTCTTCTCTAAATAATGGAGCAAATGAGCTTGTGTGAAAATGCAACCACTTCTTAGCAAAGATATTAGGGCACTACCAAGGATAAGCACTTCACCCTAGCAATAATATGTGAATCAACAGATGCTGGTAATCTGAAATGAAAGAGAAAACACTGGAAATTCATACCAGGTCAATTAGTATCTGAAAAAAGTCATAGATTAAAGTGTCAAACAGGACCAGTCATCAGAACCTAAAATCTGTCTTTCCTTTCCGGATTTCGTATTAATTGAGACCCTTTGGCGATTCCAACATTTTTCATTCATATTTTGCCTTCATGTTTCTTTCAAGTTTGTAAAATAACTTATTTGAAAAGTAACTCTGCACAAAGATGACAAAATGGATGAAAGAGAAAAAGCTTAATAAAAAAAAGAAATGAAGGTTTCCTTCCAGCCACATTTAATAACATAATCCTTGCATTTGATATAGCACTTTTCACGTCTTCGAGACATCTCAAAGCACTTCACAGAATACACTGTAAAGTGAACCGACTGTATATTTGTGGGCGAAACGCGGCAGCCAATTGTGCACAGCAATGTGCCACAAACAGTCGTGGATTTAGTGTTTATTGCTTTTTTTCTTGAGGCATTATTGTCATGCATGTGGAGTAAGGAAACATTTCTCTCTTTCCTACCTTTTTCTCCTGAATGTGGCAATTCATGCTGGGTATATTTCTATAAGCTCCAGCAGCATTTCACTACCTTGCCAAAGTTCTGGGTGTCAGAGGCACTGTAGCTAATCCTACTCACACTTTCAGTCGGCAAAATCCAGTACTGATAAGTAACAGAACCACCACTTTGTTTTATCTCCTGGCTAATAAACCAAGGCAACTGAGCCAATTGTAATGCCTTCAAGAACTGTCTCAACTGAGCAAAACACAGATCTTAATACTACACCATATAATACATTTGTCAACTGACACAGGATTTTATGGTGATCAAACTTTGCTCTTATAATTCTGGAGTTCAGTAGAACCACCAATTACGTAACAGACTTCATTAACTCTATGTAATGTAGATTTAGGAATAGCAATCCTTTTTAAAAAAAATCCCTTTAAAATTTAGCAGCCTTTTATCTTCGCTAAACAATGCCGTATGCTACTTTAGTCAATTCCAATTAAGCTGTAATTGTAATGTGCACTAAATAATTCAAATTACACCTTGTTCCTCACTTGCAGGCACAAACTTGAAGTACAAATTACAAAGAGGCTTTGCAGACGCAGGTAGGATTTTTATACATATAAGAATATTTGTATACTTACTGAGCTTAATCCAGGTAAATTCAGAATGGAGCCTAATATAGGCACTCGTCTAATAAAGCCAATAACAACTGGGAAGAACCCCCTGTCAAGAAGCAAGAAAAAAAGTGAAGCTTTTACAAAAATCTGTTTGAAATAATAATAAATGATAATAATCCTTGCATTTGATACTAAACATGTCATCAAAACATCTCAAAGCATTTCCCAGGGTTTTACTGTAAAGTGTAGTGACTATTCATTTATTGGGGGGGATGCTGAAGCCAATTCCACACAGCAATGTCTCACAAGTGAATCACCAATTGTTTTGGAAAGATGTGAAGTTTGAGGTTTAGCTTTTTGAATATCCCCAAAATATTACAAAAGTTAGCCCTGACAATCTGCTAATTTATTAATTCCACCCACTGAATTGTTCCTCCATAATCCGGTGTAATCAAAGTAAACTTTAAACTTGAAATGTTCTATCATAAGAATGAAAATAATAATAATTCTTGCATTTGATATAGCGCCTTATTACGTCTTCGAGACGTCTCAAAGCGCGTCACAGAATACACTGTAAAATAAATTGACTGTATTTTGTGGGCGAAATGTTTGTATTTTGCATTGCCTCACATTGAAGGTAAAGTTTACATCTTACTTTTCATGGAGTGCGAGGAAAAAGAGAAAGGAATATTGAAACAATCGATAATCTTTTATAGAGTTTCTACCTGAATAAAAGGAAGAATCCATAGATTTCAAGAACCATCCCCACCACAGGCCAACCAAGCAGCACCACAAATATACCACCCAAAAAGAATCCTGTGGCTTTCATTTTGTGCTTCTGGAAGAAGAATCTGATCGTCCTTTCTAATCCAATGACAAAGGACAAGCCTGTCACAAATAAAATCTGCAGAGAGAGAGAGAAAACACGCTAGTTATAATTAGTCTGTCTGAAACAAATGAAAAGCAAGGGCATGGTGGATAATAAACACACCTTAAATTCAACTTAAAAATGCAAATAATAATCTTGGGAACCCTGAGGTAATCATCTACCTAATGTAACCATCTGAAATGTTATTTTAAAATTATTTTGCACTTAAATACCATATTTTTAAATAAACAAGGTTGCAGTGTGCTATTTCAGTCAACATTTGATATAATGCCTTTCACATCAGGAGGATCTCTCAAAGAACTTCACAGAATTTACTGTAAAGTGCAGTGACTGTGTATTTTGTAGACAAATGTGTTAATAAACAGAACACATTCCTTCAGCACCTGGATCCGGACATCAACATATTGGATTATCTCAACACATTTCAAAGTGGGTTTACCCAAAACAGTCATTAATGTTGGGAATTCCAATCCTACAAGAAAGCTTTAAGTAACTAAACAGCGCTTATTTGGGAACTTTCCTTTATGGTAACATGATTCGCACACGGACTTAAACTATTGAATTAGCTGACTTTTTTTTTAAAATTTCAAATCTAATTTCATAAAGTAAGATGTACAATAGTTTCCAACAACAAAATGAACAGGACAAAAATAGCAACAACAGTTTCGGGAGTTTGGAACGTGTGGAAATTCCAGTTTTTTTTAAGTGATGTATATAATTAGGTCAAGGGAATATTCCATAAAGATATCTACAGGCAACCACCATTCCTGGGAACTCTTAAGGCAATCATCTAATGAGGCCTATTTTAATCAGCTCAATCTCCAGTGCACACAAAGTATGCAAAACGTCTCTTAACTCTTGCTGTTCATGAATTGGGGGCGGTGGGAGGGGGCGGCGAGGAGAAGGAGGAGAAAATAAATACTACGGATTGCTATCCAGTTGTATAGGCTTACACATAAACAATAGCTGTTTTGCAGAAGGAATCACTAGACTGGTGCCTGTGGAATAGAAACTTTGCATGAATCAGCAACTTCAGGGGCAAAGGAATTTGAGGGCGAGAGCAAAAAATCTCCCTGACTCACACACAGACACTTGACCTGCACATTTTTGGATTGGCAGCCACAGCTGATATGTGAATATATAAAGCGTGAAATAATACTGAAACTAAGCACCAACTGCCCTAATTTTTCAAGGCAATAGGAATAAAATCAAACCGAATGACTGAGAAAATTTGTTGAAGTGATCAATGACTAGAATGAAACGCAGGTTAATTTTATATCGTTGCGAGGGCGCTTAGTTGAAGCTGCACTATGTGAATCAGTTTTGACACTGTTTTGTACTATTACACAATCAATCCTTTGAATCTTGCCACAAGTTATACATTAAAGCTCAGATCAAAATCATTTTGAATTGTTCCCTTCTAAAATCCAGTAATTACGCTACACAGTGACCCCTCAAGAGAATCAGTGTTTCAAAAGTCTAAAGATGTTTTATAAATAACAAAATAAGACACGAGTGTAAAAGCCTAAGCCTTAAAGGTAATGTTGATCTCTTCCGTTTTCTTAAACAAGGACATGATAAATGCATTTGAGTGCTTCTGTATATCAAACCGTATGGTCATCACAATGAGTTCACACGAGATAATCCCACAAGATGTTTACAAAGACAAACTTACATTTCCTATTGCAAGGAGTGCTTTGTCAAAAAACAGGACCATGCCAAAGAACAGGAAAAACACGCCAAAGCCTGTTAGTCCCATTCCAATTTCTGTAAAGGAAATGCAAAAACAGGAGATTACACGCGGACTTCACCACTCATATTCACCTCTGAAATGTACTGGCCGACCCAGAGCTCATCATCTTTAAAAATATATAAAATAACTAAAATCTGAATTATTTGATCACTCATTCCATGACGGTTTGTGGGACGCTGCTGTGCGCAATTGGCCGCCACGTTTCGCTCTCAAAACATACAGTCAATTCACTTTACAGTATATTCTGTGAAACACTTTGAGACGTCTTGAAGGCTTGATAAGGCGCTATATCAAATGCAAGGATTATTAGTATTATCATTGTTGAACAGCCTCTCTCCCCTCCATCCCGAAAGTATAGCTTGATACCACATTTAGAATACTTCAAACTTATGTTATCAATAACCTATTATATTTACATCAGAGTCCAACGAGTTAAAAAATGTACACTGTAGAAAGAAAAAGGCAAGTATGGGAGTTAAGAGACAACTTGACAGAAAACTGCCAGCCAGTCAGCGTATTTTTAAATTGATCTGAATTTTATTAAAGAACTCCCTACCTTTCTAGTTGTTCCTTAAACAGTCCTTGATCATTTTTTTGACCTGATTTATGTGGTAAAAACATTGGGCACTATGAATTTGTGTGTTTTTTCTTAAAAATACTACTTTGTTTAAGATCCTTAAGAAATATTACTTTACAATATATTCTGTGAAGAGCGTTGAGCCATCTCAACAATGTGATAAGACACTTATATGAAATGCAAGGATTATTATTATTATTACCAGGGTATCAACTCAACTCAATTGAAATCTATTGAATACACAATTAGGTTCTAACGTGAGGGCCAGATCTGTCAAACTTCTGACATTCAATATGGATGGGCTGAAGATACAACCTGAGTTGCATGTTGCTGCCGAGGTGCAGCTTGACCTAATTTCACAGGTGTATACTGTTTGTTATTTTGGCAATCACTGAACCTATATGGGCTAATTGGTCTTGAGGTTCAAAGATTCAAAAGATTTACAGGATAACCAGGAATTCATTTTTCTCAAAAATAATGTTGTCATTGTCATTTCAGTTAATCGGTGCATATAATTAACATTTTTTGTAATGTCTCATACCTTTAAAGGTCCTTTCTGATTTGGAATGACTAATGAGACACAATAATGGGTAGAGATCAGCCTTTCATGTTCTTCACATCGTATGTTCTGTTATTCATTAGAGTTGCATTTGATGATTTAAATATAAATATGAGGAATCTTATGGATAAATCGTTAAGTCTAATATATAAAGTAAAATTAAACATTTAATTACAAACAAAATACGTTACACTTTGTTTTTTTAAGGGAAATCATTAGGAATTAAAGCAATGCTTTGAGGATTAGTTAGAGACAAAGCCGATATCAAAAGGGCCATTAAGGTCATCCCTGAAAGTATAGGTTCCTAAGATGGATCGAGGCACAGTAAAATATTACAACATATGCTTCTTATAATAATCCTTGCATTTGATATAGCACCTTGTCACATCGATGAGACGTCTCATACCACTTCACAGGATATGAAGTGTTTGGCTGTATATCTTGTAGGCGAAATGCAGCAGCCAATTGCGCACAAACAGCTATGGAGAGGGAGTGACCAATTTTTTGGGGTGACTTGTTGGCCAGGACACTGGGAGAAATTCGCTTCTCTTATTTCGAATGATGCCATTAACAGGCAGATAGGACGACGCTTTAACGTCTCATCCACAGGACGGCATTTCCAACAATGCAGGACTCTGCCACCATATTGGAGTATCAGTTTAGAGTACACGATTCCAAGTCCTGATGTGGGGTTTGAACCTCCAACCTTCCGATTCAGAGGCTACCACTGAGGAGTCATGTTGATACACGATGAAGAGAATGCTTAGCTACCTATGAACATATGCAATAAGAGGGAGTTTACGTAGTTTTATGTAAAAGAGCGTCTTGATCGAAAACAATCAACTTTGATGAAATTATTTTTCGAACAAGGGGAACTCGTGTTTTATCAGTTTTTTTTCAAACAGTGCAATACACAGGAGGATGGTGCTGAGGTGGAAGGCACAGAAAGGCGAGTATTTATGTAAAGTGATCAGAAATGGCCAAAGAAAGGAAAGAGCAACTTACAAACTAGAGAGAGGCAACTGTGTGGAATGAGAGTGAACAACAGGACTGTCTCGGGAGATCAGTGAATATAGTGACTGCCCCGAGGACACAGCGTTGGTAAATTGAAAAGTGGAATAAGTTCCTTTGGTTAAAAGAGGCAATCGAGGAAAGAATTATTGCAGTAAATGGCATTTATTTACAAGCACTCTGGGACTGCTTGAGGAGTACTATATAAAGTTGTTGTTCATTGTTCAAACTTCAGACCCAGCCACTAAAACACAACTGCCGTTTTCAGGCTTGTAATGATAGTAAAATAATATTTATTATTAATAATAATAATAATCCTTGCATTTGATATAGCGCTTTTCAAGTCGGGAGGACGTCCCAAAGCGCTTCACAGAACACACTGTAAAGTGAATTAACTGTATATTTGTGGGCGAACGAGGCAGCCAATTGCGCACAGCAATGTCCCACAAACAGTCATGGATTGAAAATGACCAATTTATTATTGTTTTGGAGGGATTATTATTAGGCTCTGTGTGGAGTAAGGAAACTTGCCCAAGGTTTCGCCCTCTGCCTGGAATTGAACTCAGGTCTCTCACTTGCAAAGCGAGTGCTCTAACCACTGAGCTGCAGGACTCCACATCCATTAAACAATAAAAGTGCATATAATAACAATAATTCTTGCATTTGATACAGCGCCTTATCACGTCTTTGAGGCGTCTCAAAGCACTTCACAGGATATATTGTAAAGTGAATTGACTGTATATTTTGTGGGCGAAATGCAATTGACATTTTTGTAGTGTATTATATATTTCTGTGCAACCTACAAAATGCAAAAGCAGCGCAACAGCTTAAACACAATCCCCATCAGCCTAAATGGGGAGAAATTGGGAGCATTGGAGCAGCTGTACCACTTCATTCAGAGTGTGAACTCTCCTCACAGCTCTCATGGTTTCGTTTTTGATGGGGAGGGATTCAAGGAATTCCCAGTTTGGTTTGGAGTCTCCGAAGCACGTGCCGTGGGGGGGGAGAACCCATCACCCCGCTGAAGGGTCTCCGAACCAAGCTGTGCTCCAAACTATGCATCCCGACCACACGCGGAAAATCCCGGAGATGGATCGTTAATAATGATAATAATCCTCGCATCTGATCCTGGGCCGTATCCCGTCTTCGAGACGTCTCAAAGCGCCTGACGGGATACACTGTAAAGTGTAGCGCCCGTGTGCTTTGTGGGTTGAGACGGGGCAGCCAATTGGGCACGGCAGCGCCCCACAAACAGTGGTGGATCGAAGCGACCAAATTATTATTATTATTGGGATGGGATCTACCCGACTGGGGTCGGTCATCTTCCCCCCCACCGCCACCTCGGGCTCCGCCATTGCTGAGCGCTCCGAGACGCCGCCCGGGGTGGAGGGCGCCACACAAATACAAGTTGTTGTTGTTGTTGGGGATAATCTCTCCCTCTCTCTCTCTGAGAGCGGCCACACAAGAGTTAGTGGCCGGACCGGTCAGTCAGTGGCTCACACAGCCTCAGCCCCTCCCTCCCTCCCTCCCTCCCTGACCACCTCAACCGCTGACCGGACCCGCTGCCTGGGCCGTTGATGCCGGTCACAGCCGTGTAGGCCTCGACTCCAGGCCGGGCCGGGCCGGTCGCCTTGGAAACCGGTCAGAGGCCGCGGCTCAGCCCAGCGGCTGGTGGTCCGGGACTTGCCCTGACCCCTCCCTCCCTCCCTCCCCGGTCACTCCCCCCCCCCCCGAGAGACGTCGCTTACTTTGCGAATCCGTTAAGGAGATCATGTTGGCGGCCCCGCAGCGCAGCAGCAGCAGCAGCTCCCGCCCACCGCCTCCACATCAGCCGCCACGTCTTCCGGAAACACGCGCCGGATGCGGGCCCCCGCCCCGCCCCCTCCCCCCTCCCACGCGAGGGCGCGGTCACCTGACGGCCCCACCCCCGACCCAATCACACTGCAGCTTACTGCGTGATTGACAGCGACCCCGCCCCCTGGCAACCGTTGACTGACAGGCGAGTCACGCCCCGCCCCTGGCAACCACTGACTGACTGAGTGACTGACGGACCGCGATCTCGCCCCGCCCCTGGCAACCGCTGACTGACAGGCGGGACAGACCCGCCCCCTGTCGCCGCCCCTGGCGGATTGCGGAGTGAGGTCCTCGCGGTGTCGCTTCGACCGCCGCGAACGCAGGTGAGCGGCGAAAGCGGAGCCCGATGCAAACCCACGTGATGTCGGTGTCATCATATCATGTGTGAGAAGCGGCCTCGCGGGGCGGGGGTGGAGGTGTGGGGGTGGGGGGGAGGGGTGGGGGAGGGTTGATTTGACGTTGAATGGTTTTTTTCATTCAGGGCGGCCATTGGGAACCGTTATGGCCGCCTGAATAACGACCGTTATTACAGGCGCGAGGCCAGTGACGTCAGTCGGGGGGGGGGGGCGGGGAGAGAATGTCAGCCTGCGACACGTGATTGGCTGGTGGGCGGGGCGGGGGTGGGGGGGGGTGGAGTCGAGTTGCTGCCATTGGTCGGATGTTAACCAATGGCGAGCGTCCAGTTTATACGTTGAGTGTGTGGGGGGGAAGGGGGGACGAGCTGCTGCTATTGGTCGAATGCTAGCCAATGGCGAGCGTCCCGAGCGCTGATTGGTTGAGAGAAGCAGGAAGTCCTTGACCAGCTGAAAGTGAAAGAGAAACAGAGTGAGAGAGAGAGAGACAGAAAGAAAGAAGCTGCTGTTGGTGGTGGTGGCACCACGATCTCCTCCTCCAGGTCAGTCAGTCAGTCACCCTCCATCTGCTTTGCCAGTTGGTCCAACCAGTGGAAAATGTCTGTCTGTTTGTCTTCTTCCCCCCCCCCCCCCATAAAGTGGGGGAGACGGGCTGGAGCGTGGGGTTAGATCCCCACCACCACCACCGCCGCCGCCGCCACCACGTGTTACCTTTGTGCAGTTGCCTTTCAGGCCCAGGAGCACGTGCGTCCCGAGGCGCTGAAAATAGTGGTTCCCGCCCGCGTTCCGGGTTGGCGTAAACCCGCGCCCGGCCACGATTGGCGGGATGCGCCTTTATCGGGGCGGGCGTGTAGTACACACGGAAGCGGGGTCTCCTTGGGAGCTGGACTGGTCGGGCCCCCCCGCCCGCCCTTGTGGCGGTCTCTAGTCCATGGTTTTTGAGCCGGGAGGGGCCGCAGTGTCCCAGGGCCCGGCCCGGCTCATCGGCAGGACCTGGAAGGGCCGACCGGTCACTGGGGGCAGGGAATCCTCCCCCTCAGCTCCTGGTGACGCCGCAGCCAAAGCCCTCCCAAGTATATCTGGAATTCTCGGTTTGGTTCGGATGCTCTTAAGTACGGTGACGGCTTTCCGCACGTCTCAGACTGACCAAAAAAGAATGAGGGTTGAGCTTCTGGCAACAGCTGTGGTTTCTCCCCTCTGTTGGCTGTGATCGGCACTGCAGTAGACCTAGTCTCGCTCACCAAATAAAAAAAAATTGGGTCCCGCTCGCATGCGCCGGAGTTTGTACTCCATATGAGTCACCCGTTCCGCCCTCTATTCTCTTCCTCCCTCATGTCGGCATCATTTAGTTTTGAAACGCTTTGATGCTTTGTACATCAGCCATAAATTCTGGTAGTGGTTTCCACGTTCTTGTAACACTCCGTAAAGGAAATAACATGCACATCACTTCTCAGCCATTTCTACTTTTCCAACTCGATTAATTGAATTGTGACCTCTCTAACCTCTCCGCATAGTTATGAAAATACAGTCACTCCACTTTACAACATATCCTGTGAAGCACTTTGAGACGTCTCAATGACGCGATAAGACGCTATAATCAAATGAGGATTGAGCTTCTGGCAACAGCTATGGTTTCTCCCCTCTGTTGGCTGTGACCGGCACTGCAGTAGGGCCTAATCTCGCACACGAAATAAAATAAATTGGGTCCTGCTAGCACGTCCCTGAGTTTGTACTCCACATGAGCCACCATCCCACACATTCCACCCTCTATTCTCTTTCTGTTTATTATTGTTATCCATTATGATTGCCAGCCTTGTGTCGCACCCTCTCCAATACCCATTCCATAATGTGGAGCCCAAACTGCCGCCGATATTCCAGCTGCGGTACAACCAACAGATGCATCGCCACTTCCTTTTGCACTCGTTGACTCTATAAAATTGAGAAACCTGTTGGCCTTTTCTCACAGATTCCTTGTAATCCCACTTACATGATGTCAATTTTCAACACAACGTTGATTTGAAATTGGATGCGGAGCTAACTTTAGCTCAATACCTTTCAATTTGTGTTACCAGAAATGAATGGTCAAATTGAAATTAGTGCTGAAATTTTAAGGACCATTTTAAGCGCTTTTTACAAATGTTAATGTTCTTTTTGAAGAAAGTAAAGAATATCATGATTAAGAGTTGAACTGCATTTCTCTACATCTGTTTTACAGGTCTTTGAAGGTGTCCAAATATTAGCTTTATAGATATTTTGTTTCAGAAATGGCAGACGTTCCAGGTGAGTTAATACTTAACAAGGTGACGCTTTCTTACCATATTTGTGCTTTTTCAAAAATAAGTTTACACCTCAATTTTTCCTAAATTCATATTAATTGACTACTCGTTTCATTGTTGAATATCAGACATTGCTGGTACAGATTAGGTGCTGATTTTAACTGCATAACTTTCAATACATTTCTTAACAATGCTGTAATATTTATTATAGAAGTGTAACGTTTCTATTTGTCACACTGGTCATTTTTGTAATGCTTTTGAGTTTTTCATCTTTTGCAACGTTTTTAATAAAAAAAACTGCATTGTGTTTAGATATGGAAGAGCAGTTGGTGTTGATCGATAATGAACTACGTGCCTTGGAGATTCAGATTCAGGAACTTCTGGACAGGCAGCAGGTGCTGCAGAAAAAAAAGCAAAGACTGAAGGAAAAAATAGACAAACTATCTGACAACGACGCTGGATCCAGCACAAAGCCAAATCCAGCCGAAGCAGATTGGAACAAGAAAGGTAACATTAAAGAGAAATTAGCCACTTTGAGTATTAAATTTAAATAATAATAATCCTTACATTTGATATAGTCCCTTATCACTTTGTTGAGAAATCTCAAAGCGCTTCACAGAATATATGGTAAAGTGAATTGACTGTATTTTGTGGGCAAAATGTGACAGCCAATCGCACAAAGCAGTGTCTCACAAACAAACAGTCGTGGATTGAGTGAACACATTTTTTTTTAGGGATAATTACCTTCAGAAAACAATCCTCAAATCAACTAACAACCAGGCTCCTACTTACTGCTAGGTAAGCAAAGGCATGCAGAGTAAGGAAATTTGCCTAAGGTTTTGCCCTGCCCGGAAATTCTTTCAGCAGCACAGCAAAGAGGAACGTTTAAGAGGAAACCTCAGTGAGGGAGAAGGGATTGGAGGAGAGAATGAGAGAGGTGGAAATGCAAACTAAAAATACCTGGATGGATTAATTAGGCTAAATGGCATGTTTTGTTACTGTACAGTCTGTGTAATTCTATGTAATATAACCGTGATTGTCAGCAGTCCCTCTTGTTGATGTTGTCTGTGTGAATTAATTAATATGTATTATAACAGAAGCATGTAGGGTTTTTTTATGTCTGGAGCCAAAACGATAATCTCTTTAGAGTAAGAGATCTCTTTGAAGAGCTGTTAGGTTAACATTCGGTTTACTGAGTTGCCCGTGATTAGAAGGTTTGAAAATGTAACCTACCAATATTATTTTGTTTCTGAATAGGTTTCAAATGGTCCCAGAAGATTGATGAGGTTTTCAAGAAAGTGTTTAAACTGCAGACATTCCGCCCTTTGCAGCTTCAGGCCATCAACGTTACGATGGCAGAAAAGGATTTGTTTCTTATAATGCCCACTGGAGGAGGAAAGAGCTTGTGCTATGAGCTGCCGGCTCTGTGCTCCACAGGTAAGCAGCACTATAAAGTACAACAACTTGCATTTATGTAACGCCCCTCACGTGGGGTAGTGTCCCAGAAAGCGTGATGGTGGTGGAGCACGACGCCGAACCAGGGGGAGGGAGAAAATATACTAATATCAAGTAAGAAATGCCCCAAGCCATTATTTACATTTTTCGGCACTTTGTATGAAAAGGAGTTCAACTTAGATAAACACAGTTCAACTTAGATTTTTTGTGATCCACAAACTCGTTATAAAATAAGAAATTGATCAAAATTTATTGTCACTGCATTTTTAAAAGGAGTTTCTGATGGTTAGAATCTTACTCTTTAGATTAGTCCTGGTACACAAGAGTAATGGTTGATGTGTTTGACTAGGATTCACTCTGGTAATCTGTCCATTGATCTCCCTGATGGAAGATCAGCTAATGATTTTGGAACAGCTTGGGATTTCATCCACTATGCTGAATGCTAGCAGCACAAAGGTAAGGAAGGCTTGAGTTTTATCTCAATTCAAATATTCTTAGTACCGCATTGTTTTAAGCTAGAGTTTAGTTTGAGACAATGGGAATTTACAAACCGACTCTCCTGTTGTTGGAACTTGCTCACGGACAGTCTTGTGACTTAAGGTCTCTGTATGCAGTCTGTCAAGTATAGAATTAACAATCCGTCCGTGCTGGATTTATTGCAGCTTGCATTAAATAATGAGAAGGAGCTAGCCTTTTGTTACAGTATTTTTTCCTTACAGTAGTTACATAAAATCCAGCAGAATCCATATCTCCCTGGGATCTTGGAACCTGGCACTATGCTTATGTGTGCTGCAAACTACGTGCCTGACATGCTGAATGAAAAGGAGGAAAGACTAATGGCATATTACTAGTCCTTAAAGTTGTATTTCTTTGGCAGGAACATGTCAAGTGGGTTCATAATGAAATGCTTAACCAATCCTCCAAGTTAAAACTTCTGTACGTGACACCAGAGAAGATTGCTAAAAGTAAAGTCTTCATGTCCAAACTGGAAAAAGCATATCAAGCTGGATGTCTAGCCCGCATTGCTGTGGATGAAGTTCATTGCTGCAGCCAGTGGGGACATGACTTTAGGCCTGGTGAGTATTGTGCTCTTAACTCGAATTCCGGAAGAGAGAAATGGCTGTAAATAGGTCTATAATTTAAATTTGTTTTGAATGAATTTGGTTATTAATTATTGGAAGTCAAGAATAGCATCAATTTCATGTTACGTGTGTTTGGTAATTTTTAAGAAATGTATTAACAGATTTTGTTTTCTGATTTTAGTGCAAATGTGAGTTGCCAATAATCTCTGTGTTATTTTCCTTAGATTATAAGAGTCTCGGTATCCTGAAGCGCCAGTTCCCTAAAGCTCCTTTGATAGGACTGACCGCAACTGCCACAAGTCATCTCTTGGAGGATGTGAAGAAAATTCTGTGTGTTCCCAAAAGCATCACATTTACAGCTTCATTTAACCGACCCAATCTCTTTTACGAGGTATCCGGAATTCATGTTTGCATCTGATACATTTTTTTAAATTAAAGATATTGATGTATTGATTGCTGTGCGCCCTATTCAATGTCCATTGGGCTTGCGAGAGTATGCAGTTCAGATATCCCTTCCTTAATTTAATTAGTTCGAGTTGAGGAGACCTGTATCATCTTTAAGATGATTTCCATGGGGCCAAAACAGGGATATTTGTTATGGCAACAGTTATATTTTCACAATAACACAGCCTAGATTGCATTTTTCAGATTTTTTTTTATAAACCATTCTCAATTCTGAATGCCTTGCAGAATTTGACGAGACGATATGCCTACAGTTTCTAGGTTCTTCATTGTTTAATTGTTCTGGTTGTGAATGTGAGTTTCTGGGTTGTGCCATCAGCAATAACAGCACATTTTTGCAGAGAATTCACCAATTATTAGATCTATTATCTGTTAAAAGTAATGGATTTCATGCTAAATTCTTTGGATTTATCACCAGAAATCAGTGGCAGTGTTTCAGCCAGAGTTCATGTTCTGGTCAGTACACAGTATATAAAATGGATCTGCCCATCCTAAAGATATCTGGCATATGTATGTTACTGCGTTCACCATTTGTCAAATTCTTTTATTTCATAGGTTCGACAGAAACCAGCAAATTTTGAAGACTGTATTGAAAATATTGTTAAGCTCATTAATGAACGATATAAAGGAAAATCAGGTACATTGGACTTGCATTCTGTTTTCCCGCTCCTCTTCCATCTTGCCCTGTATGACCTTCAGCCACTATGCCCCAAGGCTCTGGAACTGCCTTCCTCACTCCCTTCGTGTCGCTCCCTCCCTTCCTACTTTCAGGTCTCGGCTGAAGACCTTTCTTTTCGACCGCACCTTTGGTCATCTTCCTCCCCCTCCCCCTGGCTCAGCCCCCGGGATCCGTTACTGTGAGGCACTCTGAGATGCCATCCGGCGTGAAGAGCACTATATAAATCCAAGTTGTTGCTGTATCTGCCGGTCTTCAATTCCCCCAATCCAGCTTTCTCTTTCAGAGTCTATGGGTTTTCAATTTTCTTTTTTTTTAAACTGTTTTGAGAACTTTGGTGCACTTGAAGGAAGCATAGAACTTCTTATTATATCTCAATCAGCCTCTGCTGAGCTTTCCTGTCAGTTCAATTCTGATATCTCTCATCTGCGGAGATGAAAGAAGTGGTGTCTCCCAGTTACTGTAATAGAAAGGATCAATTTCCATTATATCTCTCAATACAAAACTTTTGCTCTCTACCATGATCCTTTAGATGATGATAATAATAGACGTCTCAAAGCGCTTCACAGAATAAGATAAGCTACTTACACACTTTTTTCATCTTCAGTTTACGTTAGACATTAAGTTAGACTTTTAAAATAACACTCCTCATGTTTGATATAACGTCTTTTGTCAGGAGGATGTCTTAAAGCGCTTCACAAGACTTATTGTAAAGTGTAGTAATAGTGTATTTTTGTAGGCAAACACAATAGCCAATGTCATGGTTGTGCCATAACTTTCTGACTTTTCTACATCATATTTAAGGTAACACATATGTGTTTGCATAATCTTATATTTCACCCACCAAATTCTTAAATTAACCTTTGATCTTAGCTTCGTGCTGTTTTGGATTAAAAAAGATTTCATTTTGTAACATCCCAATGATGGCTGCCAGCGTATAATTATTTTTTCTTTTTACATACCTTTCTGTAGGAATCATTTACTGTCTTTCTCAGAAAGATACTGAACAGGTCACTGTCAGCCTGAAGAAGCTGGGTGTTGCTGCTGATTCCTATCATGCCAACATGGAGGCTGCTGAGAAGAGCAAAGTTCATAAGGACTGGAGTATCAACAAGATACAGGTCAGTTACTGTGATTTGTTTTCACTAACTTTCAAAAAAGACCTGGATTATTTCCAGTGAATACTTCACACATTAATAGCAAAAGCCTTAAGAAGCAACTGATTTTCATTGCAGCTATTAATTAATACGTTTTTTAAACTTAATTTTTTAAAAAACAGTTACTCAATCTACTACTGTTTGGGACGCTGCTGTGCACAATTGGCTGCTGTCTTTCACCCACAAAATATACAGTCAATTTACTTTATAATATATTCTGTGAAGCGCTTTGAGACGTCTCAAAGGCATGATTAGGCGCTATATCAAATGTAAGAATTCTAATAATATATAATATCAAGTGCTGTCTATGAAAATAGTAATTAGAAAAAAATCATGCTCATATAAAATATTTTTGCTTTTAAATAGAATGACAGTAATTGGTACAGTTAGAATAATATCAGATGTTTCCTCTCTTAGGTGGTTGTGGCAACAGTAGCGTTTGGCATGGGAATTGACAAAGCTGATGTACGATTTGTGATTCATCACACTCTGAGCAAATCCATGGAGAATTACTACCAAGAAAGTGGGCGAGCAGGTAAAGTATGATATAACTATTTCTCAAAAACATAGTTTCACAATTGGAATGTTCTGAAAAGAAAACACGATTTAACGTTAACGTCTGATCATTCAGTCGTTTTGGTGTGTAGGTAGTGAGTGTTCACATCACATCAGAGAAATGATTTGGTAGATTTAATGAATCTAATAGTATGAGGGAACTTAAACAAACCACTGAAGCAGGCATCTTAGTAATGGTATCAACTAATATATCTTCAGCTCCTTTATACCGTCACACTTAGTAAATTCTCCAAGCCACTACTTCTGCTGTTATTATGAATGGAGCTATTGAGAAGAATCTAAAATCTTCCCGAACAAAAATCAAACAAGGATTCACATATCTTTATAATACTTTAATTTTTTTTAAAAAATAATAATTTGGGGTCCCAAAATGTTTATTTCTTCTTTAAAATAAAATACTAAATGTCATGGGTAATTGCTATGTGCTTTCTCATTCCTGTTATTAAAATCTAAAAAACTTAATGTGAATTCATAAAATGACTCCCAATACCTGTGGAAGTGGGTTTAAAATTCCCTTCTCCTGAAGGTATGTCTTGTATTGGAGCATTGTTCTGTCGATGCTAATGCCTCGACTATTCTTCATATATACTTGTGTTTATTTATATTGTACAAGAAAGAGTAAATTGCAGTGGCATTTTGTATTTAGGGTTACTGATCAATAGAGAACACTCTGATTTGTTTTCACCTTCCTTTCTGTGTCGTGTTCCACCACAGTCAAGTGTTCTGGGAAGTGACTCTGCGTGATTGTCCTGCACTGCTGCCCAGATACAGATCAGCCAAATTAGCACAGGCCAAGAGTTAATGTAGGATCTTCCTGCTCTGTGGTGCCTAAGTACATTCACACACTAAGGTGAAGGCACCTTTTAACAAAATACAAGTGATGTATATTAAGGTTACTTTTTTTGTGCATTGCACAGGTCGAGATGATGGCAATGCTGATTGCATTCTGTACTATGGATTCGGAGACGTCTTCAGGCAAAGCACAATGGTGGTCATGGAGAATGTCGGGCAGCAGAAGTTGTATGAAATAGTGGCATACTGCAATGAGCCAAACAGGTAGAGCTTATGCTACCGTTAAGCCATAATATGTACACCTTTAAATCTGTTCTATTTAAAACAGAGGACCAACCCTGTTCTAACCCAGTCATTTGAGTCCAATATCTCAGAGACATTATAAGCAAATCCCAAAAAATGTAATTGAAAACGTTGCCAGTAATGCGACCTCCCGTGTTCAGAATTTCCACTGGTGTCCATTCCTTGGGAACAGGGTTAAAACCCAAACCTTGTAGGTCTGAAAAGCAGCGAAGCCGAAACCAAGATCAGCTCTGAGATCGAATGTCTACCGTTATATTTTGGACTGCATTAAGTGGAGGAACATTTTTTGGGGAGGAAAATTGAATATTCATAATCTCAGAGTGGCTTAATCGCCTCAGTAAAGTTAGTACAATATCAAGTTGTGTATTTCTAGATGTAGACGGGTGCTGATGGCTGAGCATTTTGATGAAGTCTGGAATTCAGCGAAGTGCAACAATATGTGTGACAACTGTCGCAACGGAGCATGTGAGTACATGATTTTCTGAAAGAGAAGGCGTTGGAGGGAGGACTTGCTGTTTAGCTCGGGTAATAAATCTATCTTAGAATTGTTGTTGAATTAATTTTTAGTATCTTCTACATCCACAGTGAGATGCGGGTAACAGTGAGTTAATGTACAAAGCGTTTTTATTGAAAGAAAATGAGCAGTTCTTTACAGCACAGATAATTAACATTTTTCAAACAAAAGTCATGTACATAGAACTACAAAATCACGGTAGCCATAATTTAAAAGAAAACCACCTTTTTGACATCCCGTGATATTGTTTGTTTATGCACTTGCAGCATGTGAAAGTATCGACATAGCAAATCATTGTAGAGATCTCATCAAGATATTGAAACAAGCCGAGCAGTTGGATGAGAAGGTGACTCCCCTGAAACTGATCGACGCGTGGACAGGGAAGGGTGCTGTAAAGCTCAGGGTAGCCAGTTTGCCACCTCCAGACCTCTCCAAACCTGAAATGCACCGAGCCATCGTTCACCTACTGCTGGAACAGTATTTCAAGTAAGCAGAGCCATCTTCCAGTGCGTATAGAGTACTCTGGTGTTCTTCAAGTTATTCCCATGCAGTGCAGACCCTATTCTGGTTAACTGAATGTCTTGAGGATAACGTGGACTCCTGTAGGGTAGTGGTTAGAGCGCTCGTCTCGCAAGCGAAAGGACCTGGGTTCGATTCCCAGCAGGACAAAACGTTAGGCACGTTTCCTTACTTCACACGCCTCTGTTTACTGAGCAGTAAGTTGCAACCTGGTTGTTAGTCGATTGGCGGATCGCTTTTCTGGGGGTAATAATTTCTTAAAAATACTAAGAATAAATTGGTCACTCAGTCCATGACTGTTTGTGGGACACTGCTGTGCGCAATTGGCTGCCGTGTTTCACCCAAAAACAAACACAGCCATTTTACTTTACAGTATATTCTTTGAAGCGCTTTGAGTCATCTGGAAGACATGATCAGGCGCTGTATCAAATGCAAGGAATATTATCTCTAACTCGCTTGAATATTGTTATTTACAGGGAAGATTTTAGCTTCACTCCGTATACAACCATTTCCTATTTAAAGCTGGGACCTAAGGCACATATGCTGAGCAATGAAAAACATTCCATTTTCCTGCGTGTGAGAAGCAGGAGCCAAAAGGTAACCAGTGTTTAACAAATTCTAAATGGGGTAAACTTTTTTGACTCTAAATAGATATCAATATAATTTAGCTCTTTCAAAATGAGCTTAAATGAAAACCCAAATAGTCATCATCATTTAAAAAAAAAAAATATTTAAATTCACATGGTTTGATGCATTCGCAAAGCAGAAAGTGACTTTGGCGATGTCCTGGATGTTGGCCTTTTAGCATGAGTGCTTGCCGGCTCCTAGGAAGTAAGCAGGTCAACTGTGCATATGCACCTTGCGCAGGACAAAACACACAGTCACTATACTTTACAGTATATTCTGTGAAGTACTTTCAGACATCTCAAAGACTTGATAAAGCGTTATATCAAATGCAAAGATTATTACAGGATCTACAGTGCAACTGTGGTTATAACAGGAACACACTGTATAGGTCACGTTTTAATTTGGTTAAGAGGCCAAAATTTGTTTGACTGAATATAGGGTTTGTGATAAATATTGATTCCCTTCAGCGAATACACTGTTTCTAACACAATCAGTCCTGCTATTGTTACTTCCCACTCACTGATATTTTATTTGTACTGTTTTTGAATTCTGTTGCTATAAATAAGATCTAGAACACTAGACCAGATGTTTAATATTTGTATCTAAGAATATTTGAGTGACTTGTACTTTTGATTTATTTACAGGTTAATTCCCCAGATTGTTCCCCGAGTGCACAACAAAAAAGCGAAGTAAAGGTGGGGAATGAGCGCAAACGGTCTCTCATTGAATCCCATGGAGCAGGCAAAAAGAAAAGCAAGCTGTCTGTTCGTTAACCTATTACATTGCACTGATTCATCCAGAGGAACAATCCTATTCTGTTACTACCATTAGAGGGATGGAAATGCTGTGGTATCAAGCCAATGCTTCTTTATATGCGTCTTTGCCATAGGGTCAGATCTGGACATTGTTTAAATAATAATAATCCTTGCATTTGATATAGTGCCTTATCACGTCATCGAGACGTCTCAAAGCGCTTCACAGCATATACTGTACAGTTAATTGACTGTATATTTTGTGGGTGAAACACGGCAGCCAATTATGCACAGATATCAAATGCTATTATTATTAGTAGTAGTATTATGTGGGTGGGCATTCAAAGCCCGTGATTTACACATGTGTGCCATGAAGTTGAAAGTTATCAGCAAGTCAATACATTTTTTTACTTTTTTATTAGTTTGAGTTGATATGATAAACAAAAAATGCACAGGTCATTTCCAAATACTGTATAAGCAAATAATTACCTGCTGACCAAAAAAAGTTGTAAAATATCTTGTTATAAATAAAAGCTATTTACACATTTATCAATATAATAATATAAGAGAAAGATTTCTATACATGATTATAAATATAGCCATTACAATATTTTCTCCCTAACTCTGTTGATTTAGTGTCAAGAGATTTTCTTCTTCCGACTTCACTGATGTCCCTCGATGTTAACTCTCATATTCAATAGACTTTGCCAGTTCACTGGAATTCATTCTCTCTCCAAATCGCTCGTCGAACAGTTTATTCTGTCTTGTGCTGAAATGGTTCTTCCAGTCTCCAACAGTACCTAAAGAGAAGAGGCGCATGGATTAGACTGGGAAATATATGTAATTAACACAAACAAGAGTTTAGAGACACATAATGTGATTGTAACTGCTCTGGGTGATGCTAAACTATGTTCAGTGGTTTCCCTTTAAGTGCTGTTATTACTCACAGTGGAAATTGCCCTCAAAATGCACAGTCACTACACTTTACAGTATATTCTGTGAAGTGCTTTGAGTCGGAGAATTCCTTCCTCTGACTTTAATTTGCAATTGAATCCCAATCTAAATTAACATGTAAAGTAGGGCCACAGGTGGTGAAAAGGACAAATAGCAACTGAAGGCTGTTCAGGGTTGGAACACACACTGATTACTAACAGTATTCGTGCTGTCCGCATGTTACCTAACGGACCTCTCTGAGCCCTTTGCTGCCGCCACAACATATAGTGATGTCAGTATTATTGTAAATCAAAAGCTAACGACACCTATTGACGTCAATTCAGAGACGAACCTTTTCGGAATATCAGCCTCTTGTTGGATGTCAGAGCGCACACAGTGTTATTGGCATCGACCTTTTCCTTCTGCGCCTGTTCCTTCATCTCATTAAAGGACGATTTCCTGGTGATGTCGTCAATTTGCTCAGAAGTCAGGTTGACACCCAGGAAGGTGCTGATCTGCTCAACGCACTCGGTCGGATCCTGATAAAATATTCAGAGAAGAAAAATTCATTAGTATGTGTGAAAGCAATAATGTTCTACACAATACAGTCACTACACTTTCCAGTAGATCTCATGAAGTAATTTGAGACAGTTCAATGATGTGATAAGCTGCTGAATCAACTTATTATTCATACATAATAATACTTTCACCCACAAATATACAGTCAATTCATGTTGCAGTATATTCTGTGAAGCACTTTGAGACGTCGAGACATTCAAAGCGCTATATCAAATGTGAGGATTATTATAAGTTTTCAGTATCTTTCAGAGGGAAACAACTGTTTATGAACAATAAATTTAACCATTGAAATGAGGAACCTCAATGGATATAAATGTCATTTGTAGCTCTCTGATCATATTTCAATTCAATCTAAGCATTAAGTGCTCTGGAATGCCACCCTGCATGAGGGCACTAAATAAATGCAAGTTGTTGCAGCGTGTAATGTGGTTCCATCCGTTATTCTTATCTCCAAGAGAAACACAGAGCAGTTTGTTACAGATCTGGTGGGTAACTTGGTGCAGTATCTCACCTTCTTCATGGTTTCGTAGTACAGAATGAGAACATTGTCATCATTTTTGTGCTCCTCCCAACTGACAATGTGATCGCACCACGAGCCACAAACAACTGCAATAGAAAAGAATAATTGTTGAGCAATTTGTAGATCTAGAAATCTAGATTTTATTTCCAGGAATTTTTTATTTATTCACAAATTGAGAGAATGGGTCAGAATTTTAACATTAAATTTAGTGACAATAACTACTACTAATAATAACGATAGTAACAATAACTACTACTAATAATAATATTAGCAATCACTAACTGTGACATAATCTCACCTTCTCCTCTAAGGAACATTTCCAAAAAGGTGGTCCATTTGTCAACGGTTGGCAGGTTGGGATTATCTTTGTAGTAGTGATACAAGGAAACAGCAGTGTCTTTAGGGTTTCTGATGATGTAGATCATCTGTGAGAAGAGAGAACACAACATGTTTAGAAACATTCATTCATTTAATTTTGAAATCAAATTAGCTTCATAAGGAAACACGGGGTGCTTAATGATTTCAAGTATTTACATATCAATAAACCAGAAATAATATTTTGTTCTAACTAATACCTGTTATTACTATATGCCTATAATACAGTACTTTATTGCAGAGTACTGGTTTTATTACGATAACATTAGAGGTTACCTACAAAAATACACAGTCACAATATTTCACAGTAAACTCCTGCGCAATGTATTCAAACGCCTCAATGAGATGATCAGGCAGTATATTGAATGCCAGGATTATTATTATTATTATTATTTCTCATTAACTTAAACAGACAATGTAAGGTTTTGGACTCATTTACCGTAGTCTGTTTATAAAACAAGAGAGAATCGTTGAGTAAACACTTTCTTTTTGAATTATAATAAAATGCCAAGTGTCTGTACCTTGCATTTCTTGGTTTTGAGCTGCACTGGCAACATCTTGTAGTTCAGGTGTGTGGGGATCAGTCTCGGGGAAGGAAGATTTCTCAGGTCCTCGTATTTGGAAGGATCTCCAAACTCAATGGGAGAGGTCAGTGTCACTGTTCCACAGCCATTTGCACCTTGTTGAGTGCGGTACAGGTTTTTCAGGATCTCTGCCAACCAGTGAGTCCCTGTGAGGGTTGAAGAGAGAAAGACGATGAGAGTGAGATATTGTCAAACTATTATCAATAGAAACACACCATCTTCCCTATCTCTGGAGATTTGATTTTATATTTAATGTGTAAAACTTCTTACCTGACTTTGGGTAGGACACCAACAGCACATCATCCTCTCTGGCTTCAAAGGAGTCCAAGGTGTGTAAAAGCTCTTTTGATGAGCGTGTAGAAAAGGGAATCCCGTTAAAGGTGTGGACGAGGGCTGACTGGGATGGCATGTTGCAGTCGGATTCTCTCTCAGATCTGAGGCTGTGGAAACGAGAAGAGAGTCTGAATGATGAGAGGCTGGAGATCCTCCTGTATATATACATCCTCTCTATCCTGTCGTAGTTACACCATTGACGCAACCTTCAGTAACGCAAAATGATTTCACAATTGACCAACGCAAATAAGATTGTCGTCACGGAATACTACAACAACATTCTCATTATTGTTTTTCCTTAGCCCAAGATTTACTTTTCTGATATTTTAACAAACTTCCCAATTTAACAATCCAATCAGGAACTCGTGTCAATTGTCATTAATAATAAACATTGCATTTGATATAGAGTCGCATCACATCTTTGAGACATTTCACGGAATATACTGAGAGTATATATTTTTTGTGGGCGAAACACTTTACGTTTTGCACTGCACAGGAATCAAACCCAGGTCCTCTCGCTTGCAAGGCGAGTCCTCAAGCAATTGCTACAGGATCCCACATCTTAATCATTCCCAATATGTGACAAAGTGTTGTTTGAGGGGTTCTTCCACAGAATTGTTTACTGATACTCTGAGAATTCACAAAGCGTGAGAACAGTAGCTGTGTCTGTTTTGCAATACTTTCCGTTGCTCTTTATTATGTAGAAATAGTGACTTGTTATTGGAAATAGATCAGCCTTTGGAATAGGGAAGTAATGTGTTGTTGTGATATAATATTCTTCACTATTTCTGTTATCACCATCAATTCACTTCCCTTAGTCACTACACAGTTCTGGGTGCTGATGATCAGCTCTGATCAGATCTTCCTCTACACAAGCCTCATTGGGCCCAAAGAGTTATTGCTGGACATGGAGGAGACCAATAACAGAAGCATTTCCAGGACAAATATTATTTAAGGGAATTGAATTGAAGGTGAAGGGGATTGGAAATAGCGAAGAATATTATAGTACCACAACACATTGCACTTGTATAGCATCTTTCACATATAAAGGACGTCCCAAGGCGCTGGACAGTCAGGGATTTGGACCCAGTGCTGGGAGTTGGGATCGGGGTGGGTGGAGGGCAAGGAGGGTGGGGGTAGGAGGGTGACCGAATGTGCGGTCGAACAGGAGGGTCTTGAGACGGGCCTTGAAGGAGGCAACTGTTGACCAACACAGTCTTTAGGACCTTTCTATAGCAGCCTGTCTAACATAGTGACAGCTGTAATTAATGCTGGTCTTAAACCCATTTAAAACAATAGAATTCATAAGGTAAAGTGATGCTAATCTACAGCTAAACTGTTAATAGGACCCAATGAAGGATTTTATCCTAATAATATACATGTTTTAAGGCTGGTAAAATGTCCTACAGAATTTTGTTAAGCCGTGGATTGCTGTATTAAACTCCTAATTCAGTCAATAACTTTACAAATGTTTGGGAGGAACTTCTCCTCCAAATAGCCCCAAAGCCAGACAGACAGACTTTACTTCTCTGTCCCAAAGGCTGATCTATTTCTAATAACAAGTCACTATTTCTACATAATAAAGAGCAACGGAAAGTATTGCAAAACAGACACAGCTACTGTTCTCACGCTTTGTGAATTCTCAGAGTATCAGTAAACAATTCTGTGGAAGAACCCCTCAAACAACATTTTGTCACATATTGGGAATGATTAAGATGTGGGATCCTGTAGCAATTGCTTGAGGACTCGCCTTGCAAGCGAGAGGACCTGGGTTTGATATTTGTGCAGTGCAAAACGTAAAGTGTTTCGCCCACATAAAATATATACTCTCAGTATATTCCGTGAAAAGTTGGGACAGAGAAGTAAAGTCTGTCTGTTTGGCTTTGGGGCTATTTGGAGGAGAAATTCCTCCCAAACATTTGTAAAGTTATTGACTGAATTAGGAGTTTAATACAGCAATCCACGGCTTAACAAAATTCTGTAGGACATTTTACCAGCCTTAAAACATGTATATTATTAGGATAAAATCCTTCATTGGGTCCTATTAACAGGTTATCTGTAGATTAGCATCACTTTACCTTATGAATTCTATTGTTTTAAATGGGTTTAAGACCAGCATTAATTACAGCTGTCACTATGTTAGACAGGCTGCTATAGAAAGGTCCTAAAGACCGTGTTGGTCAACAGTTGCCTCCTTCAAGGCCCGTCTCAAGACCCTCCTGTTCGACCGCACCATCGGTCACCCTCCTACCCCCACCCTCCTTGCCCTCCACCCTCCCCCAATGCCAACTCGCAGCACTGGGTCCAAATCCCTGACTGTCCAGCGCCTTGGGACGTCCTTTATATGTGAAAGATGCTATACAAGTGCAATGTGTTGTGGTACTATAATATTCTTCGCTATTTCCAATTCCCTTCATCTTCAATTCAATTCCCTTAAATAATATTTGTCCTGGAAATGCTTCTGTTATTGGTCTCCTCCATGTCCAGCAATAACTCTTTGGGCCCAATGAGGCTTGTGTAGAGGAAGATCTGATCAGAGCTGATCATCAGCACACAGAAGTGTGTAGTGACTAAGGGCAGTGAATTGATGGTGATAACAGAAATAGTGAAGAATATTATATCACAACAACAAATTACTTCCCTATTCCAAAGGCTGATCTATTTCCAATAACAAGTCCCTATTTCTACATAATAAAAAGCAACGGAAAGTATTGCAAAACAGACACAGCTACTGTTCTCACGCTTTGTGAATTCTCAGAGTATCAGTAAACAATTCTGTGGAAGAACCCCTCAAACAACACTTTGTCACATATTGGGAATGATTAAGATGTGGGATCCTGTAGCAATTGCTTGAGGACTCGCCTTGCAAGCGAGAGGACCTGGGTTTGATTCCTGTGCAGTGCAAAACGTAAAGTGTTTCGCCCACAAAAAATATATACTCTCAGTATATTCCGTGAAATGTCTCAAAGATGTGATGCGACTCTATATCAAATGCAATGTTTATTATTAATGCTAATTGACACGAGTTCCTGATTGGATTGTTAAATTGGGAAGTTTGTTAAAATATCAGAAAAGTAAATCTTGGGCTGAGGAAAAACAATAATGAGAATGTTGTTGTAGTATTCCGTGACGACAATCTTATTTGCGTTGGTCAATTGTGAAATCATTTTCCGGTACTGAAGGTTGCGTCAATGGTGTAACTACGACAGGACAGAGAGGATGTATATATACAGGAGGATCTCCAGCCTCTCATCATTCAGAGTCTCTTCTCGTTTCCACAGCCTCAGATCTGAGAGAGAATCCGACTGCAACATGCCATCCCAGTCAGCCCTCGTCCACACCTTTAACGGGATTCCCTTTTCTACACGCTCATCAAAAGAGCTTTTACACACCTTGGACTCCTTTGAAGCCAGAGAGGATGATGTGCTGTTGGTGTCCTACCCAAAGTCAGGTAAGAAGTTTTACACATTAAATATAAAATCAAATCTCCAGAGATAGGGAAGATGGTGTGTTTCTATTGATAATAGTTTGACAATATCTCACTCTCATTGTCTTTCTCTCTTCAACCCTCACAGGGACTCACTGGCTGGCAGAGATCCTGAAAAACCTGTACCGCACTCAACAAGGTGCAAATGGCTGTGGAACAGTGACACTGACCTCTCCCATTGAGTTTGGAGATCCTTCCAAATACGAGGACCTGAGAAATCTTCCTTCCCCGAGACTGATCCCCACACACCTGAACTACAAGATGTTGCCAGTGCAGCTCAAAACCAAGAAATGCAAGGTACAGACACTTGATAAATATCACAATAATCCTTACATTAGAGAAATGGTTTTCATGCAACATATTACAATGTTAATGTTTCATAAAGACTTAAAATTTATCAAAATACTCATAATCTTACATTTCCATAAAATTGTTAATAATTCATAATTAAGCCTAAAATGTGTTACCTACTTAACCTTACACTTACACATATCTGTTTTGTTTCATAATTTATGTGCATTCAGTGAACAATATTTTGATTATTATTGTGCTCTTTGAGCACTGATATTTAGTGCTGTTTGTGTGATCTTTGCTGAACATGTTGTGTTCTCTCTTCTCACAGATGATCTACATCATCAGAAACCCTAAAGACACTGCTGTTTCCTTGTATCACTACTACAAAGATAATCCCAACCTGCCAACCGTTGACAAATGGACCACTTTTTTAGAAATGTTCCTGAGAGGAGAAGGTGAGATTATGTCACAGTTAGTGATTGCTAATATTATTATTATTAGTAGTAGTAGTTATTGTTACTATCGTTATTAGTAGTAGTAGTTATTGTCACTAAATTTAATGTTAAAATTCTGACCCATTCTCTCAATTTGTGAATAAATAAAAATTTCCTGGAAATAAAATCTAGATTTCTAGATCTACAAATTGCTAAACAATTATTCTTTTCTATTGCAGTTGTTTGTGGCTCGTGGTGCGATCATATTGTCAGTTGGGAAGAGCACAAAAATGATGACAATGTTCTCATTCTATATTACGAGGACATGAAAAAGGTAAGGTCGTGCACAAAGGTTCTGCTTTATTCTATGTCACATCTTACATCCAAATTGGGTCTAAACAAGTAAGAACCCTTGTAATATCTCTGCAATTACATATATATCTAGTCATCAGAATCCACAGGGCACCAATTCATTCACTATATGAGGAACAGGTTACAAATACCAGCAAATATTTATTGGGGAAGAATTGACCAACAATTCAGGAGGATTTCACTCAACTCCACAGCACTTTGGGTCCCATCATTCACAATGTGCCGTTGTCCTAAAGCAGGAAAATCCTATTCCTCATATACACACATTTCTTGTAAGTTACTAAACTGGCAAAAGAGATTCTCATCCTCATTGAACAGTATCTGTTACTGGGCCATGAGGAAAATATTCATATTTAAATTAATGATAGTTTTATCTCCCTTTTTATAACAAGCTTTTCTTCTTGTGATTGTTTCTCCAGGATCCGACCGAGTGCGTTGAGCAGATCAGCACCTTCCTGGGTGTCAACCTGACTTCTGAGCAAATTGGCGACATCACCAGGAAATCGTCCTTTAATGAGATGAAGGAACAGGCGCAGAAGGAAAAAGTCGATGCCAATAACACTGTGTGTGCTCTGACATCCAACAAGAGGCTGATATTCCGAAAAGGTTCGTCTCCTCTGAGTTTATTTGGTGACAGGATTGAGCTGAAATAGTGAGATTGTATTAATGATCACAATTCGCTACAGTCACAGCAGATTTAGGTAAATTCAGAGCTAATTGGGTAAAATGGGACGATTCTTATAGAGCCGGAGTAGGCCATTCAGCCCCAAGAGCCTGTTCCACTATTCTATAAATTATGGCGGATCTGTACCTCAACCTCAGTTCCCCTTTTACTAATTAAGAATGTCTCTGTGTTGACTGAAGTCTCTGTTAGATTTCCTGGTCCTCTCAGGTTGAGGAGAGTACAACTTGCTCGAGTTATTTTGACTTTAAGCGTTGCTGCTGCTGATCCTTTGAGAACCAGTCATAACGGAATATACGTAGGGGGATGGTTGACATATTTAATTTTCTTATTAAACATTGTGTTATGTGTTGGACACCATATATATGTATATATTTGATAAATGACTGCCATGTTCCGCACTATTTATTCGACTGTTAGACATGTTCCAAACTAATCTATTTGCCCTTCTAACCTTTAGGTACTGTTGGAGATTGGAAGAACCATTTCAGCACAAGACAGAATAAGCTATTTGATGAGCGGTTTGGAGAGAGAATGAATTCCAGTGAACTGGCAAAGTCTATTATATACGAGAGTTAACATTGAAGGATGTTTTTTGAAGTAGAAAATCTCGTGCTTAGGATTCAAACAATATTTGTATTTGTAATAATTTATTGCAGGAATTTCTTACTTAAACTGCAGCATAAGGTTCATGAGGCAATGAGCTTAGTGTACTCAGTGCTGCGTGTAATATTTATGATGTGTTGAATTGTATTCTTTATATATAAAACTTATTACCCACATAACCCAAGGATTAGATCAATGAATATTTTTGATTGTTGTTAATTTATCTGAATATTTATTTTTATTATTGAACAGCTTTGTGGTTTGTTTCTTCTCACTGCACTTCAATAAAAAAGTGAAACCAATATACTCATTGACTTTTTCCTGTAATGTTCAAAATTCTAATATAAGTGCGGTATACTTATAATTCTACTATAAGTTTTGTAACTTGTCATATTGATTGAGTTATGAAACATTATTTCCAATAATTCCCGAAGACTGCCGTGGAAATCAATCCTCCTCTCTCCCTTCCACCCAGAGCGTGGCACTGCTAGAGTCTAACCAGCTAAAACCACATAGCTTGCCATTGATATTGATGTCCGACGAGCACTCATATTCTATAATCAGGCATTATATTTCACAAGAATGTGTGTCACAAGAACAAGATATGTTTTACAATGGAAACAATTGTCAGACATCACATAGCTACCCGGAAAGACTGGACAGGGTGAAGTTTTCCTCTCTGGAAAAGAGATGATTGAGAAGGGACCTGATGGAGATGTTTAAGATCATGAAATAATTAAATTACGTGAGCGTTAACAGGCTGTGTGGCTGAGTCTGAAATAAAGGGACATAAAGATAAATTAGCAGCAGATCTCACAGGTGTTTAAGAGGAACTTCTTGCACAGAGGGTGGTGAGATGGTGGAACTGACGGATGGAAGCTGTGGTTGAACTAGAAAGCAATGACACATTTAAGAGGAAATGTGATGTCTACATGAGGACGAAAGCAATAGAGGGGAGCGGTAGAGGGGAGGGGTGGTTTATACTCTACTCATGTAGAGTATAAACATCATATAATAATCCTTGCATTTGATGTAGTGTCTTATCACCTTGTTGAGATGTTTCAAAGTGCTTCACAGAGTATACTGTAAAGTGAATTGACTATATTTTGTGGGCGAAACACAGTCCCTAATTTCACACAGCAGTGTTTTCACAAAAAGCTGTGGATTGAGTGACCAAATTATTATTAACAACCGGGTTCCTACTTACTGCTGGGTAAACAGAGGAGTGTGGAGGAAGGAAACTTGCCCAATGTTTCGCCCTGAACGTAGACTAGTTTATCTCAACGGCCTGTTTCCACGCTATATAACCTTCCACAAAATTTGGGGTTATCAAGTCATTCCCTTGAAGCTTTCTTAACTTCCTGTCTGTTCTGACTGATCAGTGTCACAATTTCCAGTTAAAATAGGCAAAGTCATATTTCCAGAACATCATTGTGATTTCTGTAATATAAGAAAGTAAGTAACGATTGAAAAGTGACAATTGGGGATTACCAGAGAAGAAAGAGTCAAAATTGAAGGAAGAGAAATTGAAAATTTCACAAGATGATGGATCACAAGATTGATTGGGATGACGAAGTAAGTCAATTTCATCTCATCTTTACACAATACCCAATTTAACAGCATTAAACAAGTCCAAGTCCTAGTCTCAACCATCGTTTTCCAGTAATCTTTGAGTAAAGAAATATCTTTATCTTTTGTTGTTCTGTCTTTGTGCATTAAGTAGGGACTTGCTCCAAGCCTTGGCTCTTGCCAACCTGCGCCTAATCCTTTCCGTAATTAGGTAAGCAGGATGCATCTCTCCAGAGAGAGAGAGAGAGAGAGAGAGAGAAGAGCGCATTCCATTCCAACAATCTCTCTCTGGGATTTCCATGGTGTAGATGGGATGCGTGGAATTCTCAGCTTGGTTGGAGACTCTTAAGCAACGGTGATGGGTTTCCATATGTAGCAGACACCCGGCTGGCAAAAAAAAATAGTCTTCGAGCATCCAAAAGTCTCTTTAAGGCTCTCTCTCTCTCTGAAAATATACTGGGTCAGGTATACCGGATGGATGGCCTAAAACTCTGGAACACTCTCCCTCAATCCTTCCACCTTGCCCCCTCTCTCCCCTCTTTTAAGTCCTGCCTGAAAACTTTCCTCTTCGACCGTGTTTACGACCACCTCCCCCTGGCTCGGAGTCAGGCTCCGCCACTGTTAAGCACTCTGAAACGCTACCCTTCGTGGAGGGTGCTAGATAAGTGCAAGTTGTTGTTGTTGACATAATATCGTCGCCTCGCTCCATCCCTTGCCTTGTTCAAGTCCCATCTCAAGACCCTCCTCTTTGACCGCGCCTTCAGCCACCCACCTATCCCCACCTTCCCTGCCCTCCACCCCTCCTGGTCCCATCTCCCAGCTCAGGTCCAAATCCCTGACTATCCAGCACATTGGGACGTCCTCCGGACATGAAAGGTGCTGCGCAATGTAATTTGTTGGTGGTGTTGCATTGAAATGAACCAGTTCTATCAGTTTTGATCTGACTAATCAGTTGTTTATGAGAAGCTTGTGAGACGCCACACTTATTAGTCATGTTGGTTGGCATTATAATAGAATAGTTGATTGCCCATTAACCTTGCATAATGGGGAGAATTCACTCTTTCACAAGTACACGCACATATTAGTCATGGTCACTCAATCCACAACTGTTCGTGAGGACGCTGCTGTGTCCAATCGGCTGACAGTGTTTTGCCCACAAAATATACAGTTAAGTCACTTTGCAGTATATTTTGTGAAGCGCTTTGAGACCGTTTCGATGACGTGATAAGGGGCGACATTAAATGCAAGGATTATTATTTTTATTACAGTATCTGGAGAACATTGTTTTCTAAAACAGAGAAGTGCTTCCTATTATTTTTTCAGAATATCAGTTACTATGGCTGGAACATTTCAAAATATGTTGCACCCTCCTTTCCCCATCATTCCTTTGGCAGAGTGAAACTAAATTCATCTGAGTTCAGGGGAAGCTTGGTGTCAGATTGGATTATTAGCACTCACAAGTGTTCCTGATAAGGATGGAAAACCAAAGCAACCTCAGGTGTGAGGAAGAAAATGCTCTGTCAAAGATGGATCTGGTGAAATAATAAGAATAATCCTTGCATTTATATCAAAGCGCTTCACAGAATGTACTGTATAATTTATATTATATATAATATATATATAATTATATATAACTGTATAATTCCTATTATGTTATTTTATATATATTATAATATAATATTCTAATGACATGTAGATTTAATTGTTTTTGTAGATATCGATTTATTGAGATTCTGAAAACTCACATGGATCGAGATCAGTAGAGTTATTTGTATTTTGCAATGCTTTCCATTGGTCTACAATATGTGGAAATAACAACTCTACTGATCTCGACCCATGTGAATTTTCAGAATATCAGTAAATCTATATCTACAAAACCACTTAAACCTACATTTGCAGTATTTCTCACTTGTTTAAATAGAACTTTTAATATGTGAGGTCAGTTAAAAAATCTGTAAAGTTTATTTTACGGTGTTTCAATATTCCATTACAACAATCTTGCGTTGGTCAATTGTGAAATCATTTTCCGTTACTGAAGTTTGCGTCAATGGTGTAACTACGACAGGACAGAGAGGATGTATATATACAGGAGGATCTCCAGCCTCTCATCATTCAGAGTCTCTTCTCGTTTCCACAGCCTCAGATCTGAGAGAGAATCCGACTGCAACATGCCATCCCAGTCAGCCCTCGTCCACACCTTTAACGGGATTCCCTTTTCTACACGCTCATCAAAAGAGCTTTTACACACCTTGGACTCCTTTGAAGCCAGAGAGGATGATGTGCTGTTGGTGTCCTACCCAAAGTCAGGTAAGAAGTTTTACACATTAAATATAAAATCAAATCTCCAGAGATAGGGAAGATGTTGTGTTTCTATTGATAATAGTTTGACAATATCTCACTCTCATTGTCTTTCTCTCTTCAACCCTCACAGGGACTCACTGGCTGGCAGAGATCCTGAAAAACCTGTACCGCACTCAACAAGGTGCAAATGGCTGTGGAACAGTGACACTGACCTCTCCCATTGAGTTTGGAGATCCTTCCAAATACGAGGACCTGAGAAATCTTCCTTCCCCGAGACTGATCCCCACACACCTGAACTACAAGATGTTGCCAGTGCAGCTCAAAACCAAGAAATGCAAGGTACAGACACTTGATAAATATCACAATAATCCTTACATTAAGAACAGTGCCTATTCTGCCCACAAAATATACAGTCAATCCACTTTACAACATATTCCCATCGGCATGATAAAGCCAAGTATCAAATGTAATGAATATTGTTATTATTAATTAAATATAAAACCTTGTGTGCTCTTTGTATGATCTTTGCTAAACATGTTGTGTTCTCTCTTCTCACAGATGATCTATATCATCAGAAACCCTAAAGACACCGCTGTTTCCTTGTATCACTACTACAAAGACAATCCCAACCTGCCAACCGTTGACAAATGGACCACCTTTTTGGAAATGTTCCTGAACGGAGACGGTGAGATTTACAATGTCAAAAACATTCAGGTTGCAGATTCCACAAAAGATTTTAACACTGCCCTTAAATGAAATATTATTACAGACAAATATTGGTACTTAACTTTAATATCAATCAACTGACCAACTCATTCAGTTTGCCAATGAAGAGAAACTACCGCGAATATAATCACACTTCCAATTAACTGTTTACTTAACACTTATTCTATTTTTCTATTGCAGTTGTTTGTGGCTCGTGGTGCGATCACATTCACAGTTGGGAGGAGCACAAAAATGATGACAATGTTCTCATTCTGTACTACGAAGCCATGAAGAAGGTGAGATACTGTAGAAAATGTGTTGCCAGATATGAAATTATACCACATTTACACTTTGTCTAAGTATCTCACATCCAAATTGATAATAATAAGAATGTTATGATCATGTTTCGGAGTAGGAATGAACAAGTTACTTCACAATTACATGTGGAAGAAGTTACAAATACCGGTAGATATTTATTGAGGGAAGAATCCATCCACAATTCAAGAGAATTGCGATTCAGACGACGGCATCTCACAGCGCAATACTTTTAATCACACTCACACTCAACTCACACACACACAGAATTCTACATGAACAAACCCTTCGCCTTTTTCATAATAAGCTTTTTTTCCTTGTGATTATTTCTCCAGGATCCGACCGAGTGCGTTGAGCAGATCAGCACCTTCCTGGGTGTCAACCTGACTTCTGAGCAAATTGGCGACATCACCAGGAAATCGTCCTTTAATGAGATGAAGGAACAGGCGCAGAAGGAAAAGGTCGATGCCAATAACACTGTGTGCGCTCTGACATCCAACAAGAGGCTGATATTCCGAAAAGGTAAATATAGTTTGTGACATCGAACCATAGTGAAGCTCCTCAGCCAAAAACGTCTAGACCGGATGGAAATGTCTCCCTAATAAATAGTTATAGAGTTATTTCCATCTCAATAATGGAAATAATAACAGTGCAGTATAACAATATATTATATAACATCATAATATAATTTAATATAACAATAGTAATACCAGTGGGTGGTCATTAATTTGAGATGTCCCCAAAACACTATTAGGCGCTATATCAAATGCAAGGATTATTATTATTATTACTTTGACCACAGAACATTCAACACCACTTTTTAATTGAATTTTCACGTGTTACACACATGGTCTTCATTGTCTAATCATTTGTCTTCTATTTTTAGGTACTGTTGGAGATTGGAAGAACCATTTCAGCACAAGACAGAATAAGCTATTCGATGAGCATTTTGGAGTGAGAATGAATTTGAGTGATTTGGCAAAGTCTATTGAATATGAAAGTTAACATCAAAGGACAGTGTCAAAGTAGAGTTTGAGAAACATGGTGAAAACTTCTGTTTGCTATGTTTAATAATAAAAATAATCCTTACATTCGAAATAGCGCCTTATCACGTCGTTTAAACGTCTCACAGCGCTTCACAGAATGTACTGTAAAGTGAATTGACTGTACATTTGTGGGTAAAACACAGCACTGTCCCACAAACAGTCGTGGATTGAATGATCAAATGTGTTTTTTGAGATGTTTACATTGATGTATCCCAGAAATACCACATTCAGTTCATGGTATGAACTCAGGAAATGAAAAGAAATTGTATCGCAATTTAATAGTGTATTAAATTCAGATTTATTATGTACTTAGATTTTTCATTTGCAGTCACACATTGAACAATTTTTTTTGATACTTCATAGTTTTGTGATTGTTACTTATTTCCTGAATAAAGAAACGAAAAGCAATAGAGAAGTTTACCAATGGTCATTTTCAAACTCCTGCTATCGGCTTTACTTACGGCTGATTTCAAGATCCTCTCACTCGTTTTCAAATCCCTTCATGCCCTGGCACCTCCCTATCTCTCCGACCTGCTTACCCCCCCCCCCACCCCCACTCCGCTACCCTCTGCCTCCGCTCGTCTGGTCCCTGGTGCCCTCCATTCCACCATCAGTGGCCGCATTTTTAGCCACTGCGACCCGAAACTCTGGAACACTCCTCCTCTACACCTGTGCTTTGCCCCCACTCCTCCCCCCCTCCACCTTCAAATCGCGCCTGAAGATCTTCCTCTTTGGCCGAGCCTACCCTCGCCTCCCCGCTCCCTCTAGCTCAGGGTCGTGCTCCGCCACTGTCAAGCGCTCTCAGACGCTACTGTACGTGAGGGGCGCTGTGTCAATGCAAGTTGTTGACCTTGTTGTTGTTGTTTGCAAAGTATTAGATGTGCTTCTCTGAGGTTTTGCTCTACAATCAGTGGTGTAAGTGAACTCAATTTGGACATCGCCACAGAATAAAATCTGTCATTCAAACTTCAGGAGTCTCAAAGCGCTTCACAGAATTTATTGTTAAGTAAATGTAGTTACTGTAAACGTCTAGAAAAATGCAGTTAACGATCTGAGCACGGGTAATGGGAGGTCAGGGTATTAAGGGATATGGGGAGAAAGCGTGAAATTGGATTTGAAAGGATTAGTTGAGGTACAGATCAACCATGATCTAATTAAATGGCTGAACAGGCTTGAAGGGCTGAATGGCCTCCTCCTGTTCCTATGTTCCTACGCACAGCAATGTCCCACAGTCTGGTGATAATAAATTTGACTTTAAACAGCCATTGATTTTGACAGACTATATCACACATTTTACCCATGTTCTTTAGTTCCCGTGAATCTTCACCACATCCACAGTGAACACAATGAAACACAGCATCAGCAACAACAAATGACATGTGTACAGCGCCTTTCACATCGGGAGGACGTCCCAATGCGCTTGTGTGATTGGGGAGCTCTTCTAAAGAGCCAGCACAGGCACAGTGGGCCGAATGGCCTCCTTCTGTACTATAATACTCTATAATTCTGTGTTTTCTTCATTGCCAGATCATGATTTAAATCTCTGGCTCAGCTCAAGGTATCAATCTCATTTGGAAAATAACATTTTCTGGGCTTGGAAGGGTGCAACTGCCAAGGCCAGACAAGAACTCATAAAGAAAAAAAAGTATAACATCCGCAGGGGACTTTGATACCAAAAATATTAACAATACATCATAGATAAAATAAAGCACTCAGAAAGTTGGGAACAAGTGTTCTGAGAGATGTGCCATTGCATAGTGGATGCATCTGCTGTTATCTATTTTCAGAAATACTGTACCACACAATTAGCACTGACACTAATTTACATTTATCTTAATTTTAGAATATCAAATCCTACACAAGGAATGAGGAAATGAACATCAAGCGTCGCCCACAAGATGCAGAATTCTCTGAATATCACAGAATATCACAGAATTCACTTCTGTCGAATTCAAGGTCCTCATCCTCACCTACAAGGCCATTCACGGCCTCGCTCCCTCCTACCTCTCTGACCTACTATCCCCCTACCTACCTGCCCGTACCCTCCGTTCCTCCGGCTCCGGTCTGCTCCACATCCCCCGCCCCAACCGCCCTACCATCGGTGGCCTTCAGCCTCTCAGCCCCGAGGCTCTGGAACTCCATCCCCCAGTGCCTTCGCCGCCTCCTCCCTTTCCTCCTTCAAGGCCGGTCTCAAGACCTTTCTCTTTGACCGCACCTTCAGCTCCGCTCTTGACTCTCTACCCCCTCCTCGCTCCCTCCCTTCCCTCCCCTCACCCTGACCATTTCCCCCCTACTCGGGTCCTGACCCAACTGTCCAGCGCCTTGGGACGTCCTCCTGACGTGAAAGGCGCTCTAGAAATGAAATCTTGTTGTTGTTGTTGTTGTTGTTGTTGTTTTCAGTACATTCTGTGGAACTCTGCTTTCAAATGAACTCAATTTAAGAACTTCCTGGAAGTTTTTGCGCAACTCCAAATTATAAAGCAATGATCTCAAGAATTTAAGGAAAGAAGAAATCAATTCAAAGAAAGAGGAAAGCCCTACCATCTCGCCACCCAATAACTCTTTTGCAACTTCCTGTTATTTCTCTGGACGCACGATCGTGCTGCATCATGTTTTCCTGTTTAGTAATGACATGACAAGATGGAAAAATCTTATTTTCGCGTCATTGTCATTTCCACCAGATAAGTAACATTTGTAAAGGCTGTGGATTCTACTAAACAACACCAAATCAATCAATCAGTTTTAATGAATGCTGAGGAGTAAAGATTGACAAAGATAACAGCTTTGCTTTTCTTTCCCCTGTGAAAGAAAGGCTTTTCAAACCATAAATGTGGTGTCCTGCAGCATATTGGTTAGAGCACTCGCCTCACAAGCGAGAGGACCTGGGTTTGATTCCCGGGCAGAGTGAAACCTTAGGCAAATTTCCTTACTCCATACGTCTCTGTTTACCAGCAGTAAGTAGGAACCAAGTTGTTAGTCAGTTCTGGAGGTAATAATCCCTTAAAAAAAATATGCAGTCAGTTCACTTAACAGTGTATTCTGTGAAGCACTTTGAGATGCCTCAACGACATGATCAGTTTCTATGTAAAATGGAAGGATTATTATTATTAAATGTACAGTGAGATAAATTGAATGAAACATAGGATGTTGCAGCACACAATGGCTGACGCCGTAGCTGTTTCTACACATTGGCCAATCTAATACCGTTTGCCCGCTCATTCACAATATCCTTTAATATTCCTCCTCTTCCCATTTATAGCCTCTGCTTCAGCAACAGTTTATGGCAGAGAATGTCACCTTCCATCCTCTCTCCGTGTAATTGTTTGTTTTCTGAACCTCACGTTGAATTTTTTTGTGATTATCTGAAAATTTGCACCAATTGGTTACTGCCTCACCAAACAGCGTGAAAATACTTTGCTACTATTCACCCTATAGTAACCGACTCTGACGTTGAAGATGTTTATATTTGTGAGGTCGGGGTATTAAGGGATACGGGGCAAGGGAGGGTAATTGAACTTGAGGTACAGATCAGCCGTGATCTTATAGAATGGCGGAACAGGCTTGAGGGGCTGAATGGCCTCCTCCTGTTTCGATGTTTAATCAGGACACCATGAATGTATTGGGTTGTACTGTATTCTAGTTCCCTTATAACACGATAAACTTATATCTATGTGATTGCTTGTCTGGAGGATGTTTGACTCACATTTCTATGAGAAGCGAAGCTGCATAATAATCAATCACCATCATTGTTTGCAACCGTGTTATTTATCTTCAATGCATCAGCGCACAGTTGCAAAAGAGGTACAATTATTGATGACATCCAGTCACAATGATTGCAAAATCAATTAAAGGCAATATGTAAGAATGATTTAAAGACGTAAAGGGTATTTGAAAAAGTGAACAGGTCCATATATTGGAAGTCCCTCCAAACATTGCATCAATAGACAACAGCCACACAAACCATACAATTCGAGTTAGTTATCAGTAATACGTTTCTGGTTAAGAAAATACATAAATATTGTGGTTTTTCAATATTCCATTACAACAATCTTGGGTTGGTCAATTGTGAAATCATTTTCCTGTAACTGACAGCTGCGTCAATGGTGTAACTACGACAGGACAGAGAGGATGTATATATACAGGAGGATCTCCAGCCTCTCATCATTCAGAGTCTCTTCTCGTTTCCACAGCCTCAGATCTGAGAGAGAATCCGACTGCAACATGCCATCCCAGTCAGCCCTCGTCCACACCTTTAACGGGATTCCCTTTTCTACACGCTCATCAAAAGAGCTTTTACACACCTTGGACTCCTTTGAAGCCAGAGAGGATGATGTGCTGTTGGTGTCCTACCCAAAGTCAGGTAAGAAGTTTTACACATTAAATATAAAATCAAATCTCCAGAGATAGGGAAGATGGTGTGTTTCTATTGATAATAGTTTGACAATATCTCACTCTCATTGTCTTTCTCTCTTCAACCCTCACAGGGACTCACTGGCTGGCAGAGATCCTGAAAAACCTGTACCGCACTCAACAAGGTGCAAATGGCTGTGGAACAGTGACACTGACCTCTCCCATTGAGTTTGGAGATCCTTCCAAATACGAGGACCTGAGAAATCTTCCTTCCCCGAGACTGATCCCCACACACCTGAACTACAAGATGTTGCCAGTGCAGCTCAAAACCAAGAAATGCAAGGTACAGACACTTGGCATTTTATTGTACAATTAAAGGAGACGCTGTATTCTGCAATGCTTCAGAGAGTTGCTTTATAAACAAATCAAATGTATCAAAACTATTGCTTTTCATCGATTTGAAATGTTTAATGTAGATCATTATTTCAAGAACAAATGAGATAGGTTTCTGTTAAGAAATAATATCTCGGGGATACAGTATATAGTTTGGGACATGACATGTGCAAGTGGCTGCCAGGATGGTGGAAGGCAAACGGGGTGGACTTCGGTCTTCTTTCGTTTAGCAAATTCTTATGTTTTTACTTAAATAATTTACACATAACATCTGCAAAAAATATATGTAACATATTCATATATTGTCTTGAATAATGCAGTATCTTGTGTTCTTTGCTAATAAAATGTAAATTGGGATGCTCGGTTTGTTTCTAAGGATCTGTTGTATATATGTTTTATATTTAATTATTATTAATTAAATATAAAACCTTGTGTGCTCTTTGTATGATCTTTGCTAAACATGTTGTGTTCTCTCTTCTCAATAGATGATCTACATCATCAGAAACCCTAAAGACACTGCTGTTTCCTTGTATCACTACTACAAAGATAATCCCAACCTGCCAACCGTTGACAAATGGACCACCTTTTTGGAAAAGTTCCTGAACGGAGACGGTGAGAATAGGAAAAATCTTTATACGGTTCAATTTGACACGTAAATCAAAATG